GCGGCCTGTGGCCAGCCTGGTGGCGCGATGCTAATAATAACAACAGCAGCAGAAACCCTGGAGCTACCAGCAAGGCTTCTCTGGGTCAGCGCAGCAGCCATTTGTCGGGAAGCCTTCATTCTGGGCCAGCCTTATCCTCACATTACAGTGATGTTCTAGAAAGTTCTTTTCTTCTTTGCTTAATATCGTTCCATGGATTTCCCCCTGACCTAGTGTAAAATTCCCTCTTCCCTGTGTACTGTGAGGCCTCCCCCGCCCCCCTCAGGTCACAGTACCCATTCTTCACTTCCAGGGACACACACAGACTCAGCTCTTCATCACCACTTTTCACCAGCTACGTCCTCTGAATGCCCAACAGCTGCTTCTTGCCCAGACCTCAGTTCATGGGGTCTCTCCCAGGGAAGCCTTTTAGCTCAGTGTTCTCCATTACACTCACACCTGTTTACTGTGGTCTCTCATCACAGGACATAAGTTCTGAGAGAGCAGGGAGCCTCTTTCTGTTTTGTTTGGTCCTGGTTGAAAGTTGTTCACAGATCTTAGCACAGGATCTTGCACACAGTAGGTACACAACAAACCTTAATCCTTATATGCCCTGGGAATTATGTATTATTGTTGTTATCCCTCAGATGAATTTAAAAGAGATAGCCCTTTAAGATTGCAGTCCTTTGTGTTCAAACCAGGATTCAAATTCAGCTTTCTCTAGTCTGAGTGGAGTAGCCCAGAGTTTACTAAAGACTGATGTCATCAGATTCACTTAAATGGCCAACTTGCTTATGACTCAGCTTGAGTTCCTGCTATACTGGTTTCCAGTGCTGCCTCAAAGAATGGTGCCGAGCGGACTAAAGGCAGACAAAGCATAAGTATAACACGTACTGGTGGCCCCAGGAAATGACTGTGTTTGATGGTAAAGACACTGCAGTGCCTCAAATTTTCGAATTGACTGAGTGAGTGGACAGGGAAGCCGGGCATGCTGCAGTCCATGGGGCCACAAAGAGTTGGATACGACTGAGCAATTGAACTGAGTGTCCTGATTATTCATTGTGACTTACTTCCTTTTGGGGAAACATCAAGGCTATTTAAGGTAAACAAAGCATTTCCTTTTGTTTTAAAAATGAACAGATAAAGAAAATGTAGTAATCTATATAGTGGAATGTTATTCAACTCTGAAAGGAAAGTAGTGATAGGCTGCAGTGTGGGTGAACCATGACAACAGGCTAGGTGAAAGAGGCCAGACATATTCACATTGCGAGTTCATTTACATGAAATGTCTTGAATTGGCAAACCCACAGAGACAGAAAACAGGTCCGAGGGTGCCAGGCGCTGTGGGGAGGGACTGCTTAATGTGTATTTCCTTGTAGGGTGATGAAAATGTTGTGGGATTAGACAGTGGTGATGACTGTACAACATTGCGAATGTTCCAAATCCCACGGGATCGTATACTTTAAAATGGTTTTTAAAACACAGTTAAAATCCACAACTTAAAAAAAAAAATCAATGAATTAGAAAATAGAAAATGATAGTTGCAGTTCTCAGCTATTTTTTGGACAGAATAAATATGCATAACTCTGACAAGCTCAGTAAAGTGAGTGAGACACAGATGTGCTAAAGGGAATTAGAATTATGATTCGCACAGATATATATTTTTAAAAGACACGTAATACTGAAAACCTTAATGTAGCAAGGACGGGGCAGGGCACGCCCGGTGGGTGTGAGGACTCTTAGCTGGCTTGGAGGAATCTGCTTCTGCCTCTTTGTTTAGGACATAAGAGCACATTGCACATGAGGGCGGCGGGTGGGGACGTGGACAGGCAGGCAGCTGCTCTTTACCCGCTTAGTGCCTCAGTCCATTTGGACGGGAGTGTAGGAACTAATCTCATCCTCTAGTCCTGCTCTAGTGCAAAAGTTGGAGTGGTTCCACAGTAAATGGATTCAAGAATACATGTGCCCGACCCCTAGAGAACTGGATGGTCAGAGAGGCTCCAAACCACTTTCGAGGCACTGGTGCCTGACATGGCTGCATCCCTGCAGGCTCTCCTCCAGCAGTGACCACGCCGCTGCCCGGGTGCTAGGCCTTCATCTGCCCCTCCCCTCCCCTCTGCTCCTCCTCTCCAGCCCTGACAGTCTCTCCTGCCTTCCTCTCAAGTCCAGCTCAAGCCCCGCTTAATTTAGGATTTACACTGTACTGTCTCTATATTTTGTTTCTGTATCTGGGACTCATCCCAGGCAGAGGGCAGTTCTATGGTGACCAGAACCTCTCCTGTGATTCCAGGGCCCCCCCACCATCACGTCCAGGCTTCCCTGCCTTCCAGTCACCCTTTCTCTGTTCTCACCGCCCTGGTGGTTTTCCTTTGCTGGACCAGTCTGGTGGTGACAATCTCAGGGTGTGACGTGTAAATGAGAGCAGACCCATGAGAGTCTTCCGTCCTGGGGCTTCTGTTGGTGCAGCTGCTAAGAGATCCTCTTTCTCTTGGAGTTGCTGAACTAGTGAGAGCCTCTGGGGGCCAGGGCTGCCAACTCTTAGGATCCTGTCTGAGAACAAAGCTGCACAGGGCAGCTTTGATGTGTTTGTGTCCCGGATTGTAATTGTGCTGGACGCTGGCGCTTTCCCATTTATGAGCACCAGCAGCTTGCCTGCTTGCTTCCAAGTGGACGTGTTAATGCACCTCCCATCACTCACAATGGGCAGAGGCTGAGCAGGAATGAAATACCTGTCAACTTGCAGTGTCTCTGGGGTTAAGTATTTACCTTTTGAATTAAAAATTGTTACTGTTGTAAAATACTTGCAACATTCACCGTTTAGTGGTGTTTAAGCCTAGAGCTCAGTGGCATTGCTACTGCTAAGTCACTTCAGTCATGTTCGACTCTGTGCGATCCCATCCCTGGGATTCTCCAGGTAGGAACACTGGAGTGGGTTGCCATTTACTTCTCCAATGCATAAAGTTAAGTATATTCATATTGTTGAGCAGCCATTACCTCCATCAATTACCAGAATTTTTCATCTTCCCAAACAGAAACTCTGAACTGAAACCCATTAAACACTATCCTCATTCTTTCCCCAACTCCTGCTCACCATGACTTGGTATATCTATGAATTCGACTCCTGTGGGTACCTCATGTAAATGGAATCATATAGCATTTATTGTTTTTATGACTAGTTTATGGCTCTCAGCATGCTGTCCTCACGGTTCATCCGTACTGCAGCAGGTGCCAGAATCTGCTTGCTTCCTAAGGCTGAATAGTGTGTGGATGAACCATTGATGGACACTTGGGTGGTTTCCACTCTCTGGCTCTCATGAATAAAGCTGCTGTGAACGTGGGTGAACAAATGCCTGTCCCGTCCAAGGTCCAGCTTTCCCCCTGGGCCTGCACCCAGTGGTGGGATTTCTGGGTCAACTCTCTAAGGAACTGTCGGGCTGGTCTCCATGGCTACTACAGCAGGCGCCAATGTCCAACTTAAAAAAAAAATGTTTAATGGAACTGTGGTAATGCTGGGGAAAGCGCTTAAGCTATTAGCATTTGCTGCAGAAACATTTTAGCTAGAAGCTTCAGCTTGAAGCAGTTCTGTCTTCACCAGCACCACCACTTCATAAACTCCTGGTCTGTCAGCCTGACAGCTCAGCTGCACCTCAGTCCAGGGTGGAAACAGCCTCTCCCACCTTCCAGGGAGGGGAGTGGCCAGGCACATCCTGACTGTGGGTAACCTGTTTCTTCACACCCCCTCACCCATCCATTTTGGTGTTTTTAGCAAAAATGAAGTCACCTTTTAATCCTAAGATACTGTGGCAGAGAGAGTGCAAGGCCGTTGTGCACTCACAGTGCATCCCAGTCATTTACAGGAGTGGCTGTTTGACTCGCCTTCCCCCTGTGCCCCCCGCCCCTTCCTCTCTCCAGGGGAAGCTGGCATGAGCCGTTAGGAACTAAGCTGGAGGGTGCTTGAAGCAAGAGGTTGGGACAGGTGCCATTGAATAACCACTTTATTTCTTCATCATCGCCTCATACAGATGCTGAGGTACCACCCTCTCTTTCCATTTGGTATGCTTGTGACTTTTTGTGGTGGTTTTCCTTAAACGAGAAAATTTGGAGTAAACACTGTGTATTGCCAGTTAGTCTTCTAACAGTAATTTTAAAATGCTGTTGTATAGTCAGTGCAAGAAGACAACACCGACACTACAGTATAAGGGGGTCACACGATGTCATGGTGGACGGGGTGAGACCACAGCAGGGTTATGGACATGCACCCAGAGACGTGCAGGTCAGGAGGAGCAGGTGGACTTGCAGCCCAGCTGTGGCCTCTGTGCCTTTCCAGATGCTGCCATCTCTCCCCTGTAGGACAGAGGAGATGCCTTGTCTACTGGTTTCATGGTTTTTTCATTAAGAAAAGTTCACTGACTCCGACAGGCTGAAGCATTTCAAAAATTCTTAAAAAACAAGAACACTGACAAAATAAAATTAACTTAAAACACACTAATTCAACGTGGAAATAAACCAAAGCAAAATGTTAACAGTGCAGATTTAACAGGCAGTCAATATTGCGTGTGAGGGTGTTCAGAATCTCTTACAATGTACATCTTTAAAACTTTCATTTTTAATTTATTTATATCATATTTACCTTTTAATATACTTTGTGTAAAAAAGATGGAGACAAAAATAGTTTTCTGAGCTATGAAAAAAATTAAGTTCTTACAGGCACATTTACTGTTTCATTCTAGAAACATCTCAGGTTCACAGGTTGAACATTCAGCAGCTGTGTTTTTGTTTTTTTTGTTTTTTAAAAAAAAAAACATTCTTTGACCTTGGGAAAATCAGATCTCTCCTTTTGGGGCAGAGTTCAGTTGATGACGAAGGTGTGATTATGCAAATTACAGCGAATTATTTCGGATAATCCATGCCGACCTGCATCACACGTGCGGCTTCTCCCCAGGTGGCTCCTCATCACCGAGCTCCTCCAAGGAGGTGGGTTCTCCGGGTGATGGAGCTGGTGAGGCAGTGGGGGGGTGTGGGGCCCAGCGGGACGGAGGGCGACGGTTTGCTGGTCTCTCGGGCCTGGAGAAGCAAGGCTCTAGGGACGGAGCGAGTGCGGAACAAGGTAGTTCCTTCAGAGCCGAGGAAGAGAAAGACAGGGTTAGGAGAGGGACAGGTCTTCCAGGAGGGCTCACCCCCCACACAGACTTCTCTAAGACAAGTGCACCAGCCCATCTGGTCTGAGTGCTAACATGCACATTGCTCACAGAGAATATGTTAAAGACTACGGATTCAACACGAATGACCACTGCCAACAGTAATGGGAAGATAGCAAACTATGATGAAAACGTGGCATGAGATGGGTATGTGTAGAAGTGGCTTTGGAATTGGGCTGCAGCGAATGGAAAAGGGAGTCAGAGGGGCGAGTGGTCCGCATGGCCCCGTGGGCATGGTCCTGCCTGGCCACGCACATCATTTCGGCCTTCTGAAGCATCTAGTCAGTTGCCGTGGCCAGTCCTGGGAGGCCAGCCTCCCTGTGCCTTAGTCTGTGGGCACCCCCAGAGGGCCCTAGGATGCCAGCCGGCTGCATCGGCAGCAGGCTCACCCTCAAATTAGCTCTGCTGCTGCTGGTTCCAGGTGGACTGGCACTGGGAGAACCCCACAACAGGGGTAGAACACTGCAGGGAGAAGCGTTGGTGGAGGCAGTTTTATCTAACGACTCTTATGGCGGCAGCATCCAAACAGGGGAGCCCGAGTGCACTTGTGCTTCTGGGCTCCGGGCTCCTGCACCTTCCGAGAACCCTGGGGCTGGTCACCTATAGTATGCCTCTCAAGGCCACTGCTCCTTTTTTGGTTTTACAGACTGTACAGCCACTCATCCTCAGTCTGCAGCCAGGACAAAGGACACCCAGACTCAGGATCTGTGGGCACAAAGGTGGGGCAACTGTGGCAGGAGGAAATGAGTTCTGTCCACCCAGAAAACACCGCACGACCGGAGGCTGAGGAGGGAGACCACTGTGGTGAAGAGCATGGAACAAGGACCCTCGGAGCCACTCCAGAAGTAAGTGGAGGGATGTGAAGAGATGCGATGAGCACGTAGGCAGCAGAGTGAGGAAGAGACGGGGGGAGAAGGTGTCGGGCAGAGCACAGGAGGGTGGGGAGTGGTTGCTGCCCAGGGCCAGCAGAAAAGAAGCACTGACACGCGATGATGCTAATGTTGCTAGTTCTGCTGGTGGCTTTTTACATGACTGCAACTTTCCACGAGCCCCAGCAGCAGAGCTCTTATACTAATGGAAACCATGGCAACCAGAGATAGCTTGTCTATGAAAACACACCAGCACCGAAACAGCAGAAATTAAAGGGTACGGGGGACAGCGGTTGAGAAGTCTGCTACGGCTCTGGGTCTTTTGGTGCCTCAAGAGGTGTGTGTAAGTGTGGCATGTATCAGTGTGCGGTGGGGGTAGAGTGCTGGAGTAGGGTTTTGGACAGCACCGTGGCCCATTTCTACCTGGCTGATGCTGAGTGACAAGGGTCTGTTTGTGCCACCTCTCCACTCGCATTTGTGCATTCCTGCACAAAGGCTGTGTGACCATGAGTTAAGGGCAAAGTTCTCCTTCATGTCACACCAGCACTTGTAAGCAAAGGATGCTGTCTTTTCCTGAGAAACCCCTGCAGTGGAATAAGTTAAAAAGGTAAGAATTCAACACGCCTGGCCCGTGCCAACACTAATGGGAAGACAGGCAGTAATGGGGCTCTCGTCCTTGGAGCACCTCTTCTAGAAAGGGCTGCTATAGCCATTCTGTCATATTTCATGGGCCCAGGCTTGGTCTTTGAGAGCCAGGTGTATTTAAGGCCAGTGGATAAGGGGAGGTAACTAGCCTTGATCGGAAACGAGGCTGGTGTTTTCTCATGCTCCTCGACTAGGGCTCTGAAGGTGGTTCCACAAGTTTTGGGGCAGGAGTGACTGTTGTGTGTTGACATGGTTGTCGAGCACTTGGTCACCTGTGGTGACCCCTGGAAGGTCAAGATACATTTGTATTTCTTCCCTCTAGTATGGTCATTCAGCACCCAGGGGTGTGTGTGGGGGCATGTGGGCCTGTCCAGGCTGGCGATCTGTCCCTTTAGATGGACCCTGGGCCAGCCCTGAGCTACCCAACAAGCTCTGCAGACAGTGAAAAGAAGGAAGAAAGCACTTACGGAGTGAGGCGGGCTAGAGTCCCCAGGGGGCAGTTAGTAAGACAGTTTGGTTCTGGACAGAAGAGACAGACAAAAGAAAAGAAAAGCAAGTAGGTTGGAAAGTACTTTAAAAGAAGAAGAACAGTAAAGGTTTAAAGTCAACAGGCCCAGGTGGCAGCTCCAGGGACAGCCATCCAGAGAAGTGAGGCTCAGCAGAAGTGGGCATATAGGCCGGTCCGTACCCGGCCACGCAGGAGGGGCCTCACGACAGAGCAGCCTCTCCCTTCTGCTGCCTGTCCTGTTCTTCCTGAGCTGCCCTGTGCGAGCATTTCCAATACCCTACAGCTGCTGGTTTTGAAACAGAGCCCATTAAACAAACAGCAAGACTGTCTTAGTCACAATGACCAAATGACTGAGGCCCAGACTAAAACTTTCCCTTCAAATTTTCAACTGAGTCATGTTCAGATTCTCCTCTCTCTCTACCCCAGCCCTCCTGTTCATAGCCTCTGTCTGCATTGTGCTATGACTCCAAGAGAAACAAAGGAGCAAGTAGCTTGTGGGGTGATCCTGAGGAGAGAGGGGGGAGTTTCCTGCAGTGCCCGTTCCTGGGCAGGGGTCCTTCAACACCGTGTCTTGGGGTCGCCGTGAGCACTCATGGAAGATGCACCATGGGTTCAGAGGAGGGCAGGGTGGAACAGAACAAGTGGAGTTTGGAATGAAAACCCAGAACTGCCATACCATCTAGAGAGGGACTTACTTAGTAAGTCAGCTCAGGTGAGGAATAATTCCCTGAAATCTAGAACAAGCTATTTCCCACAGCAAAAGGAAGAAGACCATGATATCTCAATACTGCCCAGGGAGCTCCATGCCGGTGTGAACCCCTGACACCGGCCCTGGGCCCCCTTTAAATCAGCCGTCACCTTTTCTGGTAGCAAAGAGACTTTATGGAGGACCAAAGGGCGGGGCTTGGCTTTGTGCCTGAGTGATGTGATCCCATTATTGAGCCATTTCCTTTATAGTCTCACATTCATTTGTGACTCAGCATTTTTAGCCTCCAAAATGAAACCCATTTTGTGTCTAATACAAATGAGTAATGCTCTGGGCCCAAGATCTCAGTCCCAGAAGATGGGGCGCTCTCCCTGCTAGATCCCCTGCAGCAGCAAAACACTTACCTGAGGGTGGTTTAGCCCCACTGTGGGAGGGGTGGGGTGACAGAAGGCACCATCTTGTCACCTGAGCACAGGCAGCCACCGCCTCAGAGTACACCGGCAGCTTTCCCACAGACACATACCTTTGACAGGCGTAGGCCCCAGACGATCAATATTAGGGTGAACCACAGAGCATTGCCGTTCTGAAGGTCACTGGCAATTTCACATGGTTTCATCTACTTCAGATTTAACTCTGTATTTTGAATTACAGTGGGAAGCCGCACATTACTTATCCCTTTGTGGGACATGTGGATGGCAGGGGGCTCAGGTGACACAGAGAAATACACCTCTTCCCCTCCTCAGCTTTCCTGTCCTCACCTGTACAGCTGGAGCTGCAGGGCCTCAGGAGGGAGCAGCCAGGGAGCCAGAGGGTGTCTGTCTAACCTTCGCCATCAGCTGACTGCCTGGCCTGGAGAATGCCCACGGCTGTCTGGACTGCACTGCTGGGGAGGTTTTGCATCTGGCTTCCTAGTGGGTCAGGACTCCCCCAGGTCTACACACAAGGGTGTCTGACCAAGAGCTGGAAATGTCCTCCAGCCCCACTATTTTGATGCCTGGCATTATCATCTGACTTTGTTTTGCCTATTTCTGCTGCAGAAACAGGAATTGATTTTTAAGTGGTGTGGTCCAGTTATACCACATGTGGAATCGTGAATAACCTTAGGGGCATATAATGATGATAACATAATAGTAATGTGTGATAATATTTAATGTGTGGTCATAGGTAGCATAACAGTAGGTGAGGTGTAAGGGGGATATTGACAGTAATCTAATTGTGTGAAGGCATGCTGTTGACTTTATCCATTCATCTCACCTGGTTTTACTGCTCAGAGAACTCTTGCACACAGAAAGGGTAACAGGATATATGAGACATAAGCATGCTCTCTGCACTTAAGTCAGCACTGTTATCCACACATTCTTCTTGTAGGTCTGACGGGAGGTGTCCTGTGTCCACCGTCAAAACCCTCTCATCCACACACAGCTGGAGCCGCAAGCCTGATGCTGGGCGCACATGATCCCAGGATACAAACTCATACAGAAAAAGGGCAAATAAGACCTCAGGTGAAAAGCCCAGATGAGCAGACAACCATGGATCACTGAGCCAGAGCAGAGGACTCGAGTTGGTCCCTGAGCTACTTAAAGACCACCATCTTCTTGTCTTCAGAGGGTCACTGATAGTGATAAGATGAATTTCTCTTCTAAGCAGCAGCTCAGGGCTTGAGTTCCTGCTTATTCTATCCTCCCAACACCCTCCTGAACTCAGGTGATCTGGTACCCAGCCCCAGGCTCCCCCTTGCCCGCACTGAGAAAGACCAGGGGTGGGGGCATGGTAAGGGGAAGACTGAACCTCCATTACCTCGATGGACCCTGGCTCGGCCTTGACCGCCATTTCTCCCAGGTGGTTGTCGCTGCTGATGTTTGTGGGGCTGTGGGCAGCCTGCCTCCGCTCCTCCTTTAAGGCATGTTCCAGCAGCTTCCTGTGGAGGATCCGGGCCACGTTCTCGGTGAGTGTGTAGCCAGGGGGAGCAGATAAGTCCTGCCTCAAGGGCGTGCCCTCTCCCCCCTCCTCCCTGCATGTCTCTGAGCCACCCCCGATGGGGCTGGGTGAGCGGCCCCGGGAGCTGGGGCTCGTGTCTTGGCCTGGACCCAGCTCTGGCCGGGGCTCAGCTGAGCGAGACCGACTCGCAGTCCGCACCCCCTTCTGGAAGGGGTCCTGCACCACGGGGCTGTGGTCGATGATGCTGAAGAGGCTGGAGAGACCATCGTTCATGGCGGTGTGCACGGGGCTCTCGCGTGTGGTGGTGGAGCGGGCCCAGGCTGACTCACCGCACCCCTTCTGAGCCAGCCCTGGGGAGGCCCTGCTACTCGATTGGTCCATTCTAGGGAGGGGCTTCCGCTGCAGCTTGGGAGACCCGTACTTGGGGGAACAGCATGTGCGTTCAAATTTGGCCTGCACCTTCTCAATGGCGGGGGCCACCTGCCTGTTCCTGAGGCCACGGGAGGGAGAGGACGCGGGCGTGGCGCCACCTCCCGCCTTGGGCGTGAGACACTTGTGTGGGCTGCCCCGCAGGGCTTCCGTCTGTAGGCCAACACTGATGGTCTGGATGGTCTGTGTCCCTGTCGTCCGGGACCCATTGGTCTGGCAGGCCATGTCCTTGACCAGAGGCTCGCCGGGGCTGGAGCAGATGGTGCTCCTGACTGAGAAGGCTACCTCCTTCATGTCGTCACTCAGGTTTCTGGGCATCTCCAGGTTGTGCAGCGGGGAGGAGAAGCTGATGGTGCTGTCGAGGGGCCGGATCCCCTCCTCCGTGTAGTTTCGGGGGTGCCTGGAGGGGGCACAGGGCCACCTGCTGAGCACATGTTCAGAAGGGCCCCCCTTGGCATCCCCGGGGCCCCCTCGGGCCCTGCTCTCGCCGACCCCTGCCACAATGCCATCCAGCCTCCGGATGGCAGGGGGGCTGTGCAGCCCCCTCCCCCCAGCCTGCTCAGCACAGACGAGGTTCCGCGGGGGCTGCTTCTGGCAGTGCTCGGGGTTGGTCACGGTGTCTGTGGTCAGGGTGATGCTTGTGGTGAGGTACCAGGCGGTGTCGGAGAAAGGTTCGGTGCTGGCCTCGGTCCTGTCCGCCCAGGGGTCTGGAGGCCTGTCGTCCCAGCTCTTGCTGTTGAACTCCTCGATGTACTTGAGGTCATCAGGGGATAGGGGTGGGGTGATGTCTTCCTTGCTGCAGGTGGGGGGTAGGCCCTTCTCTGGCAGGAAGGGAGAGCCATCCATCAAGCGCTGGAACTCAGACATGGACGACACAGACACAGCCCTGGGGAAGGGGAGAGGAGCGGTGTGAGCTGTCACCAGCTAGGGAGCCATGGCCCCGTGACCCCAAACCCAGAGCAGCCCACGGCCTGCCTGTGTGCACTGGGCCTGACAGTCTCTGCTTGGGCTGACTGACCCTTTGGGCTCTTACGGCTCTGGAATTGATGCAGGAGCCTTGGACTGGTCAGATTTTACTCCAGATGGCTTTCAAAACCGGGAGGGGCATGGTGCTCCAGGGTAGTTGGAGTTAAGCTCCAAGTGTCCTCTGCACTGTTGTGTTTCAGCCTACAGAGGCTCCACAGGAAGAAGGGAAGCCTGGTTGTGGCCTGGCCTCTCCGATTACTGACAGGCACCCTTGATGCTGAATCCGCCGGAGTTTCCTGAGTTCCCCGCCTTAGAGCAGACGTGACTGCACCACAGTCCAGGTCCAACCCCGATACCAGCGTGGTGGGGAGGAGGAGAGGCCACCACAAAGTAACTGTCAAATGACGTCTCCTCTACCCGCTGGCCTCATCACTATCGGCTAAAGCACTCCCAGTCTCCCAAGGGCAGTGGACGGTGTGAGCAGGCTCATGCCTGTTATCAACACCATTTCACACAGCAGTCCCCTCTGGGCTCACTCCTCCCCCTGCCTTCTGCTCCATTTAAACAAATTTGCTTATATGGGCCTTTCCAGACATGTCCCACCATTACATACATATGTGGCTACTAGAAAATGATTACAAACACCAGCTACTTTATATTTACTTCAAGGATTACTCTTGGTAATACTGTAATAAGTCCTCCTAGGAGAGCTTTTAAATGGTCAATCTAAAATGTCTCATAGCGTATCAAGAGGGAGTGTTTTCCAGGCTTTAAATCAGAAGAGAGGGGTTTCCATCAACTTTTCAAAAACTGTTTAACACAGTTATCCTCTTATATACACAGCTCTCACCACAATACTAACACATATGAACACAGCACTGGCTTTTTCGTTGTTAATGATCTAAAATACCGTATAATAAAGCAACTACTTCTGGATAAGTCATTTTTGAAGAGAGTCATAGTGCACTGCTGTGACTATTGATAGATTTTTAAGACCAGGAGGTTTTTCCTGCAGTAGTCTACTGTCATTTCATCAGCCTTAACTTACCTTTGAAGATTTCCCTTGTGACTTTCTTCTTCCTATAAAGAAGAAATAAGTTCACCTGAATCAGTCAGTACTGGCAGATTTGGGGCTGCTAAGGGGTCTGTTTTGCTCTTAGGAAAACATTTAAAATGTATGTGGAAGCCAAGTTTGGGCCAGGAGTGCCTCTTCCCCTCAGCCCTTGGAAGTTCAGTAATGACACCAGAATCCAGGGGACATGAGGGAGGGCCTACGTGAGAAAAACTGGCTGGAAGCTTTGTCCCAAAGTGGCTCTTCTGTGTTTCTCAGAGGGCATTGCTGTGTCTGAGAGCCTCAAAGCTGCCTCATTAATGACTGTGTGAGAGGAGGAGGAGTAAGGGTTGGGAGGGAGAGACGGAGGAGGGCAAGTCGGGGTAGACGTTCCCTGGCCTCAGCCTGGCTAGAGAAGTCAGCGTGAAAGGCACAGACACTACATAGAAAATAAACAAGCTCCAGGATGTGCTGTATGGCACAGGGAATGCTGCCAGTATTTTATAATAATTGTAAATGGAGTATATAACCTTTTAAGAGCTAAACCTCTATATCATACACCTGCAACTTAACATTTGTATATCAACTGTACTGCAATAAAAAATGAAAGAAAAAAAGCCAGTGTGACATCTTTAGGTAGAGCGCTCTTGGTGTTTAAACGTCGCCCTTGGGCATTGGGAAAGCTACAGTGACCTCCGCTAAAGAAAAACTGCAGACATGGTTCTGAGCAAAGGACACCCTTGTGCGGACCCAGTCCGGATGGAGTGAGGCCCCAGCCAGCAAACCCCTCAAGGATCCCCCAGAGAGCCCTGGCCGCTGCTGTGGTCAGCATGGGGTCGGGACACTGCCGCTGGAGTCCCCTGGGGTGGCATGCTGGTGATGTCACCTCTGCTGGGTTCAGGTGCTGAGGAGGAGGTCCCTACTTCCAGCAGCACTGCCTGATGGGCACCCCCGTCTGCTGAGCGTGTGGGACAGGTCGGATGACAGGTGCAGCCACTGTGAGACCAGCTCACAGGCAGTGATTCTTAAAATCAGTCTTTAACCAGGAAAACCCACTGCCATCCTGTAGGGATTTCTGCACAGAGCTAAGCTTTCCCCTTTACTGATCTCAGTTCCATAGTTTTCTAGTGTTGGATTTTCTCCTCTTTGCATAAAGAAGGTATTTATTGTATGTCATTGGTTACTGACATTTGCTACTTCCAATGTGAAGTACTTTCTTTAAAAAAAAAAAAAGACTTTTTTTCTGTTATTAGTATGTTTTCTGGAATCAGAGACTGTGCTGTAATTTTAAGGAAATTGGCAGCTCTGCACTTCTGGGATTATCTTTTTCCTCTTGGATTTCACTGGACAACCCCTGCTCCTGAGACTCCTATTCACATGGGACACAGGCTCTGAATTTCTGACCTTGAGCTAAGCAGCCAAGTGCAGCAAGGAGCCTGGGGTCAGGACCACCCCAAAGTGCTCACATCATGGAAGGTTCATTTTTACTAACCTCAGGGCCACAGTATGCAGCCACTCGGCCAGCTTCCCAACCCCTCACCCTCCGTCCTGCAGGTGACTAGACCCAAACCCAAACTGACCTCACGGAAGCAGTTCCTAAACTCCCTCTGGGGCCGGAGGGCCGGGGGCTCCTCTGACTCATCGTCCAGGGACAAGGTGTCCAGGTAGAGGTTCTCCCGTGCTGAGCACCTGTCCGATTCCTTCAGCTTGGACAGCGGCCGGTCCTCAAATGCACTGGAGTCTGTGTCCATACAGGGCCACATCCCCGCAGGGCAGGGGGATCCCTGCTCTTGATCACAGAGGAAACTGCCACCTCTCCGGGGACTGTTTTCTTTCTGCAACTGAACGGTTTTAAAAGTGAAAACAGCCTGAAGATAGTGAGACATCTTATGTTCTTAAAGTTCTGGCATCAATTTCAAAAATAACACCATAAATGCTTTTTAAGAAAAAAAAAAATCACAATTTTATCTGGACTAGAAACATCTGCATTAACCACAGGCAAGTCAACTCCTTCTGTAGAGAATATTTATTTTATGTATAACTGAGTGCTGTGCTCATGAGAAATCACACGTTTGTTTTTAAAATCTAACATTGCCAAATGACACATTTAGAAATGCCTTTTTGCAGTTACCTTCCGAATGTAAGACATTCAGTGGAAAGCCATCAGTGACAGCAGACTTCTGGGGTGAATTTGGTTTTCTTAAATAGCAAGGTTTCCTAACAACAAGAGCATGGTGTCCAAGTCATTTGGAATGGGTCCTACATAAACCTCGCGTGATCGCCTGGGTTACAACCCCTGGGTGTCGAAAACAGCTCATGCTTTGCTTGAGAGGATGAAGATTTAGCTACAGAGGTAACAAAGATCTGGTGTGACTAGAAGTAACATGTGAGCCACAAAGACTGGAGTTGTACTTTTCCCTGACCTGGTAAATGTTCAGCAGCAGCAGTGGTGGAAACCACGGGAGACTGGAGCTGCTGTATGTGGCTAGTCCTCTCAGTGTCCCCACCTGTTAGACGGGTGCCTCCCCTTGGGGACTGCCTGAGGACTGCAGGGCCAGGCCCACCCTAAAGGTCCATGTTCATCAGTGGGACTACCACCAACTCCCCTCAGGCCTGTGGGAGTCCTTGGGCCTGGGTGCACTGATGAATGCCTCATCTCTTCACAGCGTGGGGGGCCTTCAGGAGGAGCCCATGGAACCATGGGGACGGGCAGGGACACGTATGCAGGCAGCAGTGTCTCCTCTCCTCCCGTGCTCCCCTCCCAGCCTCCCCTGAAGCAGTAGGGAAATTCACAGAATCCGCTCCCGCGCTCCACCGTGCCCGCCTCTGGACTCGTCTCCAAGGATGGCAGGGTGCTGAGATGGCAGCTGTAAGCACTGACCTTCCCTCGGAAGTGCATTCGTTTATGTTTTTTTTTTTTTTTCTCGTTTATGTTTTAACAGAGCCTCTGTCACAAACTACATCTTGTGTCCTAACCCAAGCCTTCAGCCACAAGTATGTCACTGGGAACAAAGCCATATGGAGCTATGGGGACAAAGGACTCCTCCTCATTAATTTCTAAGATGGGTATCACCTTTGTTTTAGGAGGAAGCAGCCAGACCTTAAATGCTGGAGTTTTGAGGCAGGATCGCAGTTGAATCAGGGAACAAGCAAAGTCACCCTGGGTATCCCCTCAGTTGAAAACCCTCTGCTGTCTCCCCCAATCCCGCTGACATAGTTCTTTGTCATTTTAAAAGGCCATAAATCCTTTCTTTTACAAAAAAAAAAGGAAAGCTTTTTATTATTCATCTATGTATGTCAGTGTGATTTAGTTTCAACATCTCCAAGCTATTTCAGGCACAGAATTAAGATTAAAATCACATCTGAAACTGTAAATGTGCACGGAGGGTGCGTGTGAAGAGGGGGAGAATGACTACAGTGGGGAGCTATGAACCAGCACATTCTCACTTGGCAAAGCGGGGTGTCAAAAATAAACCTGGGCAGCCAGGAGCAGCATGCACTAGAGCTGATAAGTGTTAGGTTCCTTAAAAATGAACTGGAGTGGTTTTAGCTGGAGGTGTCTGCTGCCAAGATGCCGCTGCAGCGCTGTCACAGAGTAAAAGGCCCTTAAAAGGATAGGGTTTCCTAGGAGAGGCATTCCAGGCAAGCCACCAGCACCTACTCTACTAAGAATCCTGCAGGAGAATGACTTCTAGAGCAAACATCAAATTTAAACGATGTGCCTTGGGGCTTCCCTGGTGCCTGAGACGTTAAAGCATCTGCCTATATTGCGCAAGACCTGGGTCCGATCCTTGGGTCAGGAAGATCTCCTGGAGAAGGAAATGGCCACCCACTCCAGTACTTTTGCGTGGACTATCCCATGGATGGAGGAGTTGGGAAGGCTACAGTCCATGGGGTTTGCAAAGAGACACAACTGAGCGACTTCACTTCTTCAAATAATACAGGCAGCAAAATGCCCTTGAGAGTGTCCCCTTACCCAAACTGTTCACAGGAAAAAAGGTTACTTTGTGCACAGGTTTTAAAAGAACAGCCTTTTTTGCTGTAGAGGCAACTGATGTAAGGAAGTCACCAGAAGAGTGACAGAATGATTCCAGAGCTTTTCCTTCAGGTTTTTATCAGAACCAAGTCCGAGGGTCTCTGCAGGCTCACTTGGACCTGATGATTCACAGGAGAAATGTGATGCGACTCCAGAGACGCTAACCCTCACCGTTAGGTCTGGGCGGAGACGAGCTGCCAGTGCAATAGACTGTGTGTGTTAAATGACTTCTACCACATTTCCAGTCATTCATCACATAAAGCGCCTCATGAGGCACAGAAATCATGTAGGAATTCAGTGCCACCACACAAGTATGAAGCATGTGTTCTCGAAGTGGAAAATGGATTTACTGTTACTCCTCTCACCATCTGTCTAGGCCATCACAGACAAGGTCGCACGGCCCTCCACGTAGTCAGATATCGAGGGGCACATGTTATAAAGGGCGCTCGCCTGCATGTCCAGTTTATCTGTGGAACATGCAGCTAAAAGTTAAATGAACGAACAATGACAGACCTACACACATTACACACGTCAAGTCAGTTTCCTCTTTTATAGAGAATGCCTTTAACTGCTTTTCCTAATTTTCAGGATTGGGTACTGTGATTTTTTAAAATGTCAAATACTGGGCTGGATTTATTTTTGAAAGCCACAACTGCATATCTGAAGCATCAACAAACCCTCTTCTAAATATAGCAGTGAACTCAGGGTACAAATATGTGGGGTCCACCACAGATTTCAGGAACAGATGAAGGAACACCCAGAACCCACATCTCACTCAAGTCCATTTGCTCAAACATGTTAACCCGGAGGACTAAAGTTCTGAGACTGTCATCGTGGTAGAACCACAGCAGTAGTGACAAGCTGGAAATGGGGTTCAGCCCCTGCCCACTCACTTTTCCAAAGACTGTCTTAAAGTGCTGTTCTTCCCCAGGACATCAACTCTTTAAAGGTGAACACCACCAGCTGTCTTACTAATTTTTCCTTTATTAGAAATTACCTTCATTCCCCAAAGTAAAATGAAGCTCTTAGAGACTTGCTTCACTTAGATCCAAGGTTATATCCATAATGCAGCCAAGACAAGAGCAAGGAGCCTAGAGCTGATGGGCAAAGGAGATGTTGACCATGTTCTTGCTGGGGTGCAGGAGGGACAGGGAGTGGTCTTGGAGGGAGGCCAGGAGGGACCCTCCAGGGAGGGGCCTGGAGGAGCTGTGACACTAGTTAGTTAATATTGGGTGAATCTATGAGCACTTTGTCAGAGTACATGCTGCCTCTGCCCCCGTGACTCCCACCGACAGCTGATCTCTGCATGGAGCACAGGCACACCATGGGTTTAAGACAGGAGAGTCTTCTCAAGTGTCACATTCTAGGCCAAACAGGAAGTGGCCAACCTTCCTTTGATAGAATCTGGGGAATTCTGAAATGAGCCAGATCACCTACCAGTCTGGGTGACTCAGCTGTGTGAGTAACCGAACCCAGGAAGGACGTCAGGCCTCTCTATCTGCAAATGCACTTGCTTCTGCTCAGGGGTTCTTGAGCCTAAAGCTCCTGGTTCTTTTCAGTTCTCCCTCCCTCCCCACCAGTGAGCAGAAACGGACCTTCGCCACTGCATGTGCAGAACAGAGGTCCATGTCTCAGGAATAATACAGCACATTTTTCAAAAGGCAGCATGGGCATTTGTAAAAGAATAATGAGGTTATTTTTCCTGCTTTCATTTTCTGATTAATACATTTCCTTGAGGCCACCTGAATTTATAAGTGTGACAGGCTGAAATTGTATGCTATGTCAAAACCCAGCCTGGAAAGAATCCCAATCTTTCATCATTTTCATGTGGAAATTTAATTTGTGCACCACTGAAGCAGTATCACAGCTCTGCATTCTGTCCTACATCTGACGCAAGGCAGGGAATGATTATCTGTAGAAAAACAACTCGCCTCTCCCACTGAACTCATCTGTGTGTTTGAATCGTTTGTTTAGCTGAAGATAATGAACTACAAGTCACCTCCCCTGACTCTGTCCTGTCTAATCACAGCTCTGCAAGATCCACAGCAGGTGCAAACAGCCTGACTTCCTACTGAATTCAGCAGTTTCTTCACTAATGGACAATAATTCCATTCAAGCTGGAGCAGTCACTGTGACCACATCTTTAGTGGCAGACTTAAAAGCTAGTTTGCTTTTTGGCAGAAATCATTTTCTAAGATATGAAATAACCTCGCCTTTCAAGTTTAGTCTTTTAACACTTTAAAAAAGTTATCCCCACCCCCAACCGGACACATTGAGTAAAGTTACCCACCGACTTTGCATGAAAAGATCTGTGTCGTAGGAGGGCTGACCCTAGGTCTCCAACACTGGAGCCTCTAGGATTTCTTCCTCTTCCTCTGGAAGCCCCGAGATCAGCCTGATATGGCAGAGACCCCCGAGCTGTTTCAGTTTCCCCTCTGAGTGCTCTGGTCTCCAGGCCAGGCATCCCCACTCCTCCTGGGGGCACCCTCACCTGTTCAATTCTCCACAGCAGCTCCTTCTCCTGCCGGCCCCACTCCTGGCGCTCCCGGTCCAGGCGGTCGAGAAGCTCCACCTTCTCCCGGCTCCAGTTCTTCTCGCGGTGGTGGATCTGCCAGCGCAGGTCCATGGCCAGCCTGTGGCTGTCTGCCAGCAGCTTCTGCTGCACCTCCGTCTCCCTCCTGAAGGCCCCTTTGCTGTCGGTGCAGGAGCCTGGGTCTCCCAAGCTCTCCCCATTCTTTGCTTCCAGCTGTCAAAGACAAGACATGGGAACTTAGTCCCTCACAGTCTCACATTATTAGGTGAAGGAAACCTCAGCACATCCACATAGTATCCCTGGAATTGTGTTTAAATCAAAATCTGACCAAGCTTACAGAGGAAACAATTTTTGTCTTTAAAGTCCTAATTACGAACATCTGACAGAGTCACACAGAGGTGAGTCAGAGAATCCACCCGGCTTCCCACGGTCCACTCCTCAGTCCCCTTGCAGACTCTGAGTCACCATGTCTCCTGCCCGTTCTGCTCTGCAGCTCCTTGAGGGAAGGCACATGTCTATGCCTACATCCTTCACCCCTCTGTGGAACCTAGCAGTCTACAAAACACACATCAAGCACCCAGTAGGTTGAAGACCAAAATCAAGCAAGCAAAAGAACTCCCATCTAGACAGCACATGCACACTGCTGAAAATCAAAGAGGAAACCTTGGAGGCAGACAGAAAAAAACCCCACCCGTGGAGGCCCAAGGATGGGAATGACAGCAGACCTCTCCTCAGAAACTATGCAAGTCAGGGGAGAGTGGAGTAACACTGAAAGGGCTGGAGGAGGAAATGTCGACCTCACCAGAAGTCTGTATTCAGCAACATCTTTCAAAAATACAGGGGGTGGGGTGGGGGAAGGTTTTTCAACAAATGGAAACTTAAAAATTAGTGTCAGCAGACTTGCATTTCAAGAAATGATAGAGGAAGTTTTCGGGCAGAAGGAATAATATACCAACAAACACTGATCTGCACAAAAAATGAAGAATACTGGAAATGACTGGAAATCCTAAATACAAACATAACTCATTTTCTACTTTTAATTGCTTTAAAATACTAGTGAGTATCTAAGGTAAAAATAGTTGCAGCATATTGTGTGTTTACAAAATGTGTAGAAGTAAACTGACAACAGTGCAAAGGACAGGAGGAGGGAACTGGGGGTATACTGTTGTTGGTGAATGTGATAAATTTTAGTGCAAGATTCATGAACACAAAGATATACCCCTTTTCCTACTCTAGATAAGCAGATCCCTGAAGTCTAGGCATGGCCCCATGTTAATCTATTCAATTCTAATGGTTTCTAATCTATTCTCTACCTCTGTATCAGAATAACTTCTTAAAAATGCAGGTCAAAATGCTTTACTTCCATGACGAAATCAGGATCAGTGTTTTGATTCCTTCAACATTCTTCTTTCCACTCATACACGGTGAGGTGCAGCTGCTCAGGTGTGCCATGCTCCTGTCTTCATGATGTCCCTTTCTCTCCTTTTCCATGTAGCCACTCCTGTTCATCCTCCAAGATTCATTCTAAGCAGGACTTTTACAAACAACCCTGCCCTGAGCCTGCAGACTGAGGTGTGTGCCCTGCACACTCCCATTCCCGGGAGCCTGTGTACAGGTCTGGCAGGGCACTTAATCATTCTGTTACTAACTTTGGCCCTTGTCTGCTCTCCCACTGTACTGAGAACCCCCTAAGGATCTGTATTTTCTGTTGGGGGATCCCTGGCAAAGCAAGCTCTGACTCAGGAGTCAGTTGAAGGAATTAGATTTGGGGATTGACACAACATGGCCTCCACTGAGAGAAAATATTTCCCTCTCGGTAGAACTCGGCTGTTTTGCATTTAAATAGAAATGGGCAAAGATGGCACTATTATAAATGTACTAGCATCAGCTCACATTCATTGTTCCCTGGGCCACAAATGTTTGAGAAACTCTTAAACAGTTTGGGGACAGAAGATGAAATCTTTACCTATTACCACTTGGCTTCTAGGTTTGAAGTCCTAGCTTTACTTCTTGGTGTTTAGTGATTATCCCCGAGGCTTTATTTGTAGCAAATGTGTGGGTGGATAGCAGGTTCCTCTAAAACAAAGATGAAATGTTTTGAAGCTGGCTCACGTCAAAGATTATGCCTCCTCTTTTTGGCTATGCTTACATTTCTGAAAATATTTAGCTGTTTCCCCTATAAACATATTTTTAAAGTAGCTTAAAGGCAGCTCATCAGAACGTCCTTACTCATTTCCCCTCCACTGCTGGCTCTTCAGGCTGTGAACTAAGATAAACAGAATATCTAGTAAGAAGCTCCTACCAGGCAGTCGGCAGGATTCATAACCGGGTCAGCAGCTGCATCCTTGCCCAGCCTGGCCAGGAGCCCTGGTCTGGCTGTGCTTTGCCTCTGCCCCTGCAGAGGTGGCTGTACCGCGGCCCCTCCAGGGCCTGGCACTTCTGCCCCCGTGGGCCAGGCGGCAGGTGAACCTGTGGGCACTGCGGGAGCTGTCGTCTTCTGACAGGACAGGCCCTCAGCTTTTATCAAGACTATTTGGAAGATGTCTTCGTTTCAGGCAAGGTTTCTTTTCTCTCTCATGCCCTCAGCTTTTATCAAGACTATTTGGACGATGTCTTCATTTCAGGCAAGGTTTTTTTTCTCTCTCATGACAGGGCCAACTGATACAAAATCTTGATTACAGTCTGCCCAGAAAAGAGATCATCTGAGATGGCGCAGCATGATTGGGGGGTGGGGGGGGCGGTGGGGAGACACCAGAGAAGCAGTCTGAGCAAGCAGATACCATGCAGGAAGTGACCACTTTCAAAGGTTTCCAGGGAGAAAGCACACAGCATTTCCAGTACAGCCTGATCTTAACGACCAGGGCTGTGGTCTTAAGTCTCCGAGACCGTGTGCTCTCGTCTCCACTCTCAGTGAAGCCTCTGCGGTCTGCGACAACATGCTTCCTCCAGGCCTTCACTTCTCCCGTGTGAATGAGGACGGCACGACTCATCGGACTTCTAGGGCATGTGTAGTGGGAGGTCTACAAGGTCTTCCCAGCACTGGGAGAAATCTAATGGAAAGCATTCATTTGCTTTTTTTTTTTTTTTAAAGAGACAACAAAACCACAATCTGCCTTTTCTTTGCTTCTGTCTGAATGATGGCCATGCATTCTGATCACCATTTCATGCTGGTCAGGCTTCGGTGGCACTAAGGACATTCTTGCTCCTTTCTCCCCACCAACACTCGCTATTTCTAGTCTTTCTGATAAGAGCCACTCCAATAGCTGTGAGGTGACAGCTCATTGTGACTTTGATTTGCATTTCCCTGAGGATTAATAACAGCATTTTTTCATGTACCTGTTATCTGAAGAAAAAGAAAACACTCAGGTGAAAAGACACCTGTACCTCCATGTTGCCAGCAGCACCATTTACAGAAGCAACGAAAATGTTCATGGATGAATGAGTGGATAAAGAAGATGTGGTACATATATACAATGGAGTACTACTCAGTCACGAAAAAGAACGAAATCATGCCATTTGCAGCAACATCGGGTGGAGCTCAAGGGCATTACGCTAACTGAAGTCAGAGAGACAGCTAAATACTGTGTGATCACAAGTAGATGTGGAATCTATAAGTAAACAGATGAAACCAAGCTCACAGATACACTGAACAGATTAGGAGCTGCCAGGGGGAAGTGGTTAGGGAATGGGTGAACTCTTATGCTTTTAGTTTAAATAAACTGGATAATAAAAAAGAGAGACAACCTTGTTCTACACAGAATAGGGAAACAGACGCTGCTTTTGAAACACTGCTGGGTGGGGGCCGTGTTTCACACCTTGGGAGAGGGAAGAAGAGGGAAGAATGGCACCACAGGAAGGCGGGCGACTTCCCAGGTGCCCGAGGCCATTGCTGTGGGTTTCTCCTCGCCCTCTCTTTCCCAGCCAGGCTTTGGGATCCAGACCCTCCCCGCAGTCGGAGAGAAGCCCGGGGCCGTACCTGCTCCAGGCGGCACGTGAGCGCGGCCCACTCGACATCCCAGGCGGCCTTGTCGCCCGCGTATTGCTGCTGCAGCCGCTGGCGTGCGCGCGCATCCTCCCGCAGCTCCGCACGCAGCTCCTCGAGCAGCGCCTTGAGCGCACAGAACAGTGGCTGGGTCTCCGCCACCTGCGGGGACACGAGGGCGGCTCTGCATCTCACGAGGGTGAGGACAGGGACCTGGCCATCAGGGGAGGGGGGCTGGTAGGGGGCTGTTGTGGGAATCTGCACAGTTAGGGGGATATTGGGCCCTCTGGCAGCTCGAGGGCCACCAGGCCGATGCTGCTAAGGAAGGGCTCCTTGGATGAGGAGGCTGGCACCACGGACACCTGGAGCAGAGATGGGAAAGAAGCTGAGGGAGGCCAGGGGAGCCGAGCCAGGGCTGCCAGGATGCTCTGCATGACTTCAGACCTCACAGCTCTGGTTGACAACAGGAGTAATGAGATAAACTCACCTCTGTGTGCTGTCACTTGAGTGCCAGCTGTTGACCAGAATGGAATTAATAAAGGGCTCGTGTGTCTCATCAACGTGGTGTTAGTCTCCAACTTGTAGTTATGAAGAGGTCATATATGTGACAAGCAGAGTCATGGGGTGGGGGTGAGTTTTAGGTCTAAACAGTTAAAACCAAAAGTAAAGGCTTAACATGTTGGTGAAGGCTTCCTCGTGGTCCCTCGAAATACAGTCACTGCTCAGAATCTCTTTTCTGCTCACTAATGGCAGGAATAACTACTGGACCTATGTGTTTATCCTGTGCCTCCCCTGTCCCCCCACCTCCCAAGTTGTCAAAGGCTGACCACCTGCCACATTTCTGGTGCTCAGCTCATGGGAAGTATGCAAACAGGTCTGATAAATGAAGAATGGATTCTTATTACTAACCTGCTCTACGTACCTTAAAAGATTTTGTATTTTCCATTAATACCTATCTAGTTCTATGAACACACATTTCAAAACCATGACTGCTATCTCAGTACGCTTCAGCATGGGCATTATATCAGAAAGTTTGTCCAAATGAATTAATACACCCTGAACCAATGATTGTACCTGGATAATAAAAGCCACATGAGCCCATCTCTAGAAACCAGATGGAAAACACCTAAAGCCCATTGCTAGCTCCCTGAATGGTCTCAAGGCAATCCTCTTTGGTATATTTATGAGGCAGGAGGACTTAAAAGCTCTCTCAGTCTTGCTGGAGGCAGGCTGTCTGTAACATGGGAAGACAGAGCCCCTCATGCTCAGAAGAATCCCCCCTCCTTGGTAAACCTCCCGTCCCAGGGCAGCGAACCTGAGATCTGCATGCCCAGCAGCCTTCTCTCTCTCCTCAGTTCAAGAGGCAATCATGCTTCTAAAACCATCTAGTCAATCCATGAAACACACGTGTACATGTGCAAAAATGGTCAGCCATGCTTGGGAAGAATTTATGAGGATATATGTTTGGATATATGTTTGGATGTTAGAAAAGAGAAATTCTTTAACATGAGCTTTATCACTGAAAACACCATAGTTTTCTCCATAATTTATATGAAAAGTTTTAGTATTAGATACAGTAGACTTTTGGTCAGGTGGAAAGGTATGTTAGCATTTATTGCTGCTTGATTTTCCTCACCATGAAAACCAATTTTCACTTTTAACAGCTCTAAGAGGCACTGAGAAGACAATTCAGTTAACATTTGCAAAACTTGGCAAATAGAAAACCTTCTGTATATTCTGTATGTTCTTTCCAACCATCAGAATATAAGTAAATTACCACTGTTCTCAACAAGATACTCATAAAATGTGCGAAACTGTAATCAATGCAGAAGTTTCTTTAAACTCTATACCAAAAGTATTTAAAAGCTGTAGGTATGAGTGAGTGTGGTGTTACAACAGTCTTTTCACAAATATACATCTTCCTAAGTATAGAATTTGTTTGCTAAAAAGTTATGTTTATGGTAGATTTGATTTTTCATCATTGGATTTTAGATTTTTTAAAAATCACTACTTTTCAAGTCAAACTATTTTAAGAATAAAATCTGTAATAATTTTTAATCCAAACTTTGGAGCAGTTGTCTCTGTTTTATTAAAGAAAAAGCAGAAAACCACATAATAAATCACATGTGATCAGTACCTTCCTATGAACCCCAAGTCATGTATGTGATCAGCTTTGGGGTTCTTCTCTAACAAACAACTGTGACAACATCAGGACCAGAACTTTGTGCTCCTTGAAAGCAGGGTTCACATGACTTGTCCTTTTGCAGACTGAAGTTTTGCTTCTGCTGGAAGTAAGTACTTTTTGGCATTAATAGATACCAGATTAAATAAAATCAAGCCTTAATGTTTTCATGCACATTTGGGCCAGAGCAATCAACATAATGTCCTGTTATATTAGTATTATATTTAATCATCATGAGATAAGCTCAAACTTGTTTTGGGGTGAAGGTGGCCAAAGGGGTCAAAAGCCCAGAGAATTGATGCTATTGGTCCCTGTTACCATAGTCACCTGAGCACAGCATGTGGCCTGGCATGCAGCCAACCTAGTTCTGCCACTGGAGAACAACGGCAAGAACTATGTCCACGAGAAAACTTCTGAAGACCCAGAATGAGCCATAGACAGACACTGATCCTTCCAACTGACTGTTACACACACAGGAACCCAGTGATGGTAACTAACACTAAGTGGTGTTAACTAACACCAGTAACTAACACCCAGTGGGCCAGGGGTGCTGATCCTTCACCTACAGGACAGTGCTTGCATCTCGCATCGAGCCTGAGTGCACACTGGCACGTGCCCTTGTCACAGGGGAGGACCCACAGCAACAGGGTACCTGTCTGGCTGTGCGGAAGTGTGGAGCCTGACTGCAATCCAGGTCTGCCTGTGCTACCCAAGACTGGACAAGCCCGCCAGCATATGTGAATTCTGGCATCATAACCCTGCCCAAGCCTTAATTTTAAAGATAGCTAATCTAGGGCTTCTCTAGGAGTCTAGTAGTTAAGAATACGCCCACCAATACAGGAGACATGGGTTTGATGCCTGGTTCCAGGAAGGTCTCACAGGCCGCAGAGCATTTAAGCCTATGTGCCACAATTACTGAGCCTGTACTCTAGAGCCTGTGAACTGCAACTACTGCGCCTGAATGCTACCACTGCTGAAGCCTGCATGCCTACAGCCTGTGCTTCACATGAGCAGCCACTGCAATGAGAAGCCCAAGCAACCACAACTCCTTGCTGCAATGAAGATCCAGCACAGCCAGAAATAAACAAAGACGGCTAATCTCTGTGAAGCAAATTCCATCCCCCCATCGATGGAAATAACAGTAGCCCTCCTGAAAGAACACCTAGAAGTTACTCTTCTCACTTCTCCCAGTGGTGGGCTATATTTTTGGTAGAAAGACCCAAATCAAGTCAAGGATGGAATCAAGACTAGGTCTTCAGGTGAAAGTCTTCTTAGATACAGAGCTCTCAGAATCTTCTGTGCCAGGTGGCTGAGCTCTACAACCTTTTAACTTATATATCTGGTAAGTATACAAAAAGTGAAATTGCTCAGTCGTGTACGACTCTTTGAGATCCCATTGACTGTAGCCTACCAAGCTCCTCAGTCCATGGCATTTTCCAGGCAAGAGTACTGGAGTGGGTTGCCATTTCCTTCTCCATGGGATCTTCCTGACCTGGGGATCAAATCCAGGTCTTCTGCATCGTAGGCAGACGCCTTACCTCTGAGCCCCCAGGGAAGCCCTTCTGGTAAGTATGGGCAGTTGTAATTAAAAAGGTCAACTTCCCAATTTCTTTAAGATCAGCTTATTGGTCTTCTTACAAAGAAGCAGGATAAAATGTTTCCACAATTTTCTTCTCAATTCTAAGGGCATTTCAGCCCTTTCAAGCTTGAATAACCCCCCAGTAGGCATCAGGAGTTTGTGCTATAAAGTGTTAAAATAACAGGTTGGGCTTTGACCAATAGGACTGTTATCCAATTATAAGTGAAAGTCACTCAGTCGTGTCTGACTCTTTGAGACCCCATGGACTATAGAGTCCATGGAATTCTCTAGGCCAGAATACTGGAGTGGGTAGCCTTTTCCTTCTCCAGGGGATCTTCCCAACCCAGGGATAGAACCCAGATGTCCTGCATTGCAGGCAGATTCTTTACCAGCTAAGCCACAAGGGAAGCCTTGTGTACTGGAGTGGATAGCCTGTCCCTTCTCCAGCAGATCTTCCTGACCCAGGAATTAAACCAGGGTCTCCTGCATTGCAGGCGGATTCTTTACCAACTGAGCTATCAGGGAAGCCCTATCCAATTATAGGACACATGTTAATAGAAATAGAAAAGAAGTTTATCGAAAGGTAGCAGACCAGTTGGTGAGGCAACACCAGCTATTTTACAGACTCACTTTTGCTTAAGATTTATAAGACATGCACATAAGTAATTCTGTGAAAGAGCTACACTTAATATCAACCACTCTGCTGCATCAGAGCCACTGACTTTGGAGACAGGTGTAATCTAAAATTTGAACAGAAGTACTGACCTGCTGCTATAGGCTGACCCACAAAAAGTCAATCACAAAATAGAGGTGCTGGAAAAAAAAAATAGAGGTGCTGGCCTCTGCCTCATACTCACTTAGGCAGAGTCCTGGAATGCTGTGGTTGGCTGCCTTGACCACCCTCCACCCACTTCCACATACACACCCATGCATAGTTCTTATTTGATACATATAAAGAGGGGGGCCTCTTGCAGTTTCAGTAAAAGTAACTCCCTCACCAGCAGGGGCGCCAAGTCATCCTTTACTGAGATTATCTCTACATGTCTGTGTGCGCTTAGTCTCTTAGTCACGTCCAACTGCAACCCCAGAGACTGTAGCCCACCAGGCTCCTCTGTCCATGGGATTCTCCAGACAAGAACACTGCCGTGGATAGCCATTTCCTACTTCAGGGGATCTTCCTGACCCAGGGATTGAACCTTCTATCTCCTGCATTGGCAGGCAGAGTCTTTACCACTGCGGCACCTAGGAACCCTACAACATTTTAATCCAGCAACATTTTAACAAGTAAGCCATTTTTCATTCTTACCTTCATTATTACATACAGATTAAAGATTCTTTTCTAAAACTGTTATCCCCCACAGATAAAGGAGAATGAGTCATTAAAGACTGTCTGTGAAAATATAATCTCTGATGGAAGCCTGCAGAGATGACGGACTCGTCTATGGACAGAACTCACGTGTCCACCGGCTGCAAATACGCTGGGTGAGCTGGACCAGGAGGACTCCATGCCTGCAGGTCTCCCATCATTTTCACTGAGGGCCTCAGAAGAGTAAAGGTGGGTGTTTGAGAGGACAAATGGACGCAGATTGAACAAGTTATAGACCCAGAACTGTCGCCAAAGGTGTCAAAGAAACCAGGGCAAGTGTGATGGAAGTCAAGTGACCAGATGGGAAAAACGAACTGATTACTGGAAAGCTCATTAGTGTATCAGAGCTTGTGCCACAACACTCGGAAAGGTGTGTCACAAACTACCTGCCAGCCACAGGTAGGTCGGGGAGGTGGGGCTGGAGCTGAGAGTATTTCCTCAGGAATGTTTTGTTTCTTGTGACTTTCCATGCCCTGAACACGTGCTACTTTCACAGTAACAGGAACAAAAATAAACAGCAAAAATAAAGTATTTCCTAATCATAAACTCTGGTCTGGTTACTTTCACAGAGTTGCATGTCTTTTAGGTGAGGCTATAAAGTTGCAGAGTCTGTAGAATGAATCTGGTGCAACATACAAAAGTGAAACGTAAAAGCTATCAAGGCTCAAGAGGAGTGCCTTCTTATTTAAAAAGTAAAATCAGATGTGTGGAAGTGCTGCTTCTGGAAGTTTCTGTATCTTGGGCAGAGTAGAAAGAATGGGCTGTCAGTGAGTAGGCTGCTGGACACCGAGTGAGTGCAGGCCCAGGAGGCCCTGGAGCCAAAGGCACTCTGTCTACAGGGAAAGGCTGGCTTTGAGCTGGGGGTCCTCCGAGTCCCAGGTCAGTGACAAAGGCCAGAGAGCAGATTGCCCCCAGTCCTCAAGCTGGATCCTCAGGAGGGCCCTCAGGGACCAGTGCCAATTGAAGACTTGAAGATTTGAACACGAAACATAGTAAATGGTAAAGGATCTGCCTGCAACGCAAGAGACCTGGGTTCGATCCCTGGGTTAGGAAGATCCCCTGAAAAAGGACATGGCAACCCATTCCCGTATTCTTGCCTGGAGAATTCCATGGAGTGAGGAGCTGGCAGGCTATAGTCCATGGAGTTGCAAAGAGTCGGACACAACTGGGTGATTAAACACTTTCACTTTTTCATGATTGCATTCGGTTGCCCACTCCACACTTAAACTTAGATGCTTTAACAAAGAGTATTATGTCACATCCCTGAATGAAAAAATAACTTCTCTTTTAATGACTTAATCCAATTCTGGGAAGACTGGAACCCCAGGGTCATACTTCTGGCACTATTAACCACCCTGTGTTTAAAAACCTGATTTCAGGAATTATTACTAACTATCAAAGGCATACTTGGCTATAGTAGTGCTGGCCTCAGAAGCTCAACACAGTCACAGGCGTCTTGGTGCTTGTCCCCAGCCTGGGACCCTGCAGAAGGCTGGGCGAACTCAAAGTGCTCACTGCCTCCAGGACAGGTGGGTCCCTGCTGCCTCGTCAGTCTGTGCGGAATGTTCACAGAGCCAAACATTTTCCAATATGATGGTTTTTAATGAAGTATTTCCAACATTGACTTGATACATGCAATTTTTTTTAACCTCCTTTGACATGATAAATGTTGCCATCCACCCTGTTCAGCTGTGAGACTGTTCACTGTGACACAAGGCAAGGTCTGGGAAATTTTGTCTCCTGCTAATTTATCCTTGGGAAAGAAGTCAGGCCACATTTCCCACTCTGCTTATCGCCTTGGGAGGCCCTCGGAGTTTCTGAGGTGGGTGCGGCTCGAGGGGCCGCTCGCTCCCTGCGACACGTGCCCGGCTCCCGCGTGGCTGGTACAGGATGGACAGACCTCCCTCCCGAGGAGTGCACTGCCGGGTGCCAGCTGTTGCTTACAGTAGAGCTCATTAATCTTGTGTCCTCAGATGGACGGCCTCGTGCACTGGATTGCTGTGGGCAGACGGGCCCATTAAAGGCAGATCTGATTCTGCCCACGTGGACGCCACCCCCATTAGCCCATCTGCATGCCTCTGTACAAAGTAGGGACACAGCGGTCCACCTCTGCTTTAAAGCAGAAATGCTGAGACACGAATGATGGAAGGAGGCAGCAGCAAAGATGACTTTAAGATGCACAGAACAGGAGGTTCCAGCTGAGTGACTTTCCATAGGTCTGCATCTCACAAGGAGAATCTTCCATGACTACTGTTTGGGAAACCAGCTGTGTTACTTTTTCCCCCTTTCCCAAAGCATTTGGATGTACATGTGGAAAACACCCCCACACATGCTCTCAGAGGCAGCGGGTCTGTGGCTAAACAGCCAATGAAGAATTCTGTGTGAGTCACAGATACACTGTGGGACTGCCTGATAGCACCACTTTTAAAAACTAAGAAAACTGCTTGATTTTAGGGGATGTTTTGCAAAGAAGCATTTTATTTTCTAACTAGATCTTTGCTGGAAAACTCATTCCATGAGCTAAAAAAATCTCCCCCATGGACACTGGCCTCATGACAGACCTCCTAATAATGGTAATTAAAAGTTCCTTTGAAAATATAACCTCTTTCTTGAGTCCTGTTATTCTGGAAGAATGAAGGGTGAAGATATGCATAGAAATCAGGACTTCAACTGTGAAAATCTGAGTTGTATACAGAGAGAAGGTGTGGGAAGGGGAAGCGCTCCCCCAGGTGTGAGCTAGGGAGGCGTCACTCTCCTCCTCTGACCTGAGTCCACACTCTGCTGCCGTCCTAACCATCCTAACCACAACCTACTCCCCCCACCCCCTCAACACACACACACACACACACACACACACACACGCTCTGGGCAGAGGGAGGGGCCGCAGCTGTGGAGTGCGGTGTGCAGGGAGGGCCCGAACTGGCTGTGACTGGGTGGCTGCAGCTGCGCCCGGGGTCACCCCGCCCTGTGCCTCCCCCCAGATCCAGGCTCTCCTTGCCAGATCCTCAAAGAAGCAACATGAGGGCAGGCGAGTCTCAGTCCAGGAAGCCCGGGAGCAAAAAAGTTTTAGCCTTGCAGGCAGGATCCGGGCACTCCAAACCCACCACAGCTTCAGTTTTGCAGAAAAGCACAACCAACCTGGGGCACCCAGAGTATCTCTTGGCTTATCCAGCAGGGGCCTGTTTGCTTATAAAAATAAATGGGGCTTTTGGCAACACTGATAGTTATTTAAGGTTCTACACGGAAACCCCACCTCTCTTTACATATGCTTTCATTTTTGCTTCAAGTGTCATCCAATATTTGTATTGGGGACATTATGTTTCGTGTGGCTTAAAAACAACCTGAAACACTTCATACACATTTGGAGATAAAAAGACAAACTAGCTTGCTTTTCCTCCTGCATTATGTTGCCCGCCAGCAAACAACAACAACAAAGCCCTAAATGGCTGTGATGAGGGCACCGCTTCCTTGCAAAAGTAGTCACCCTCTATATAAGACACGAGCCACCTTATCCAGTACTGTTTTCTCCTCTTCCTGAGGTACACTCACTGGCCTTGAGGGGGCTCAATCGATGCGCCCTTCCTATGTCCTCATTTATGTGAATGAGCCAAGTAACCCAGAGCTCTCTGCCCCTGGGAACACCAGTGCATGAACGGATGAGAGGGACAGGCTAGGGGTCTTCTCCCCCCAGTGCAGGGAGAATGAGCCGAGACCAGCACCCACCTGCCTGGAGAGCTGCCCCCCGTCTGTGGGCTGCAGCCGCGATCCATGGTCACCCATCTGCGGAGAGCACTCTCCCAGGGAAAAGCCACAGCCTGGCCCATCGTCATCTCGGTCTGGACTGTCTGTCTTTGTGTCCCCCTGGATGCCAAACTCCCCAAGCCTGGGGAAGGTCTCTGGAAGCTCGCTCTGAAATGGCAGGAGGGGACAATCACAGCCGAATGCTTCTGCCCTCAGCCTGAGTTTTAATGCCTGAGGTTCATCACCCACTTCAGGGGTTATCACGACTTCACTTCTCAGCCCTCTCCCCCTAATAGGCTCATAGTGACCACTTCACTCATTGGCCACTTTCTCCATCTAAACCTCACAGAGAGGGTGCCCAGTTTATTAGAGGAGATTAGAAATATTACTACTTATAAATCATTCCTGCTCTCAGTTACAGTAAAAGGAGGAGGGCCTCCAAAGTACTGATCAATAGAAAACTTGACAACTACTTCCAGGTTTTGCTTAATGATGGTTTTCTAGGTCATGGCTATCTGGAAGCAGGTTGAATTTGCTTTTGAAGAAGTTCTCCACCCCGAGGCAAGAGCATCATTGTATCTTCCCATTCTCAGGATGTCTTAAAACTGCACACACTACTGAGGAGAGTGGGAGCAGAGGGTCTTTGGGGGCTAAGGCAGTTGGCTAACCAACTGCCACGGGGCCCTGGAACAGCCCACGAGGCAGCCAGAGCAGCAGACACCAGCAGCTCCAGCCCTGTGCTCGCCAGAGAGGAGCCTGCAGAGCTGAAAGCCACTCTGCCTTAATCAATAACCATCAATCAGAAGGCAAATAGCTCTGGTCCTGCCGTGAACCTGGGAATTGAGGCCTAAGTAGGTATATGCCCCATATATAGATTTCGGAGGCTGTGAGAAAGCTCCCTCTGGAGCTCAGAGAGACCGCATCAGAGCCAGGTTTGCAAACCATCACTGTGGAATGAACCAGTAAAGGACTTTGGGGTGATAACGAATTCATCCATCAGCAGAAAGACGTGGCAGCAAAAGGCCTGGCTGCAGGATGGGGTTACAGACCAGTGTGTTCTTCAAACAAGTTCCCTGGGCAGCACTGGACAACCCACTGCTTTTGCTCTGCCTGGACTGGGCTTGAGAAGATAACCTGAGGTATCAGAACATGACTGTGTGCAGAGCGGGGTGGGGTAGGCGGACAGCAGGGCCTCCGGATCAAGAACAAACCCCATACAACTCCCAGGGCTGAGCTACCTCCATGAAGTCCTCCGTGTCGTCCTCCGCCTGCCTCCCTTGGCGCCAGTGCTTGAGCAGCCACCTGAGCTTGACGTAGAAGAGGAAGATGTTCTGCTTCAGGGAGCGCAGCTGACTTGCTGGGCCCTAGGGTTCCCACAGCCCCAGACAGAATGAGGACAAGCTAGTACTCAACTGCACATGGGGTGCAGATAAGGGCACGGGAATAGCATTCATGGCGGCTAAAGTGATACATAGGCTGAAAGTCTTTTGCTCCACTGACCAGAAAGGGTTAGAATGCCAGTCTTGCTAACACCCCCTCTTGTGTCAAAAACCAACAGGTGGGTTTGGTTTTGTTCCCCTAAAGTACTAGAGAAAGTACTAAGTTGGGTGCTGACACCAGACCTCGTTGGCACCTGAAGCTATCCCAGATAACATGAAAAACAGGCAATTTTACTCACACGCTTAGCAGCCCTGAGTCCCAGCACTGGCTCTGTCCCCTGTGGACATGGAGCTAGACAGGAGAGAGGCGGCTGGGCTCCTGGAAGCCCGGTGTCTCTGATTTATTTGTGTGTTATCTCAGGCCATTGACTGACCCTGGTGAGGTTCCAGCTGCCAAGTGCAACTGATCCCCGCCGTGTGCGCCCAGTGCCAGGCAGGTCCCTGAGGTGCCCCGGGACTGGCTCCTGGAGGCACAGCCCTGGGAGGGCCTATTCTTTTAGTTTATGTTTTGATCTATAACCTCTTAGAAACGTCCCTTCCTGACTGGCTTGCTCTGCTCCCTCTTCCGCCAAGGCCCTTGCTGCCTTCTCCTGTTCCAGGATCCCCTGCATGTCCCAAGTCTCAGAGTCGTGTCCCTGGCCCTTGGGGAGGTGAGGAGACCCCCTTCCCTTCCCCTTTGAACAATCCTGGATGACTGCTCAGCGCCTCCAGCCAAGGCTGGGAGAGTCTTCACCCCACAGCCCTTTATCCTGAATTCAGTACTAGAAATACCAGGATCCTGCAGTTCTGCTGACAGCACCTCCAGGGGTAAACTCACTTTTAAACATGATTTTTGGTGCAATGTAAAAAAAACAACAGCAGCAGCTAAATTCCTTAGGGATTAGCCTTCAGTTGATATGAAATTACTTTTCTTTGGTGATAATATGTGAAACTTGACTTGTAAAAATAACTTTAAAAAGGGGGACACGTCTAGTGGTACCTGGCTTGGCTCTCCTGGAGCTTCATGGCAGAAGGCGCTCCCCTGATCAGTTTTTAACCCATTTAGATGAGCACAACCACAGACAACATGAGGCTTAGGTGGCATGCACATTCCTTGCCAGAGTAAGTACATACAGATACCTTACTGTGCATAGGACATGCATTTGAAACACTGTGGTGCCATCTCAAGATCATCCGGTTTTTGTTTTTAAAGATAACAGATTTCTTCCAGGAACAAACACAAAAGGTCTAAGAAGCAGTCATGGTGATTTGAGCCTGGGTTTGCGTCTCGGGTGTGTCAGGGGTGGCAGTTACCTTGGAGGCCTGGGGACAGTGATCCCAGGTCCTGGGAACTCTGGGGAAGCTCTTAGTGAATGAGGATTTTGAGCCAGGACCAGGTTACTCTAAAATGGCTAAAAGAGCTGATAAGGCCACAGCCCAATTAGTGGCAGCTTTTTTAATAAAACAGGTGAATTGTCGATGTATCTAGCAGAAAATCGACCTGATATTGACCTGAAATGTACCAATCTGCAGACACTGGACATTATGGACACACTTTCATGGCCAGCGGCATGGAAGGCCCTTTACTGGTTCTGGCCGCAGGCAAGCTTGTCTGTTGTGTGAGTCCCTCAGTCATGTCCGACTCTTTGTGACCCCACGGACTGCAACCCGCCAGGCTCCTCTGTCCATGAGGATTCTCCAGGCAAGAATACTGGAGTGGGTTGCCATTCCTTTTCCTGGGGATCTTCCCAAACCAGGAATCTAACCCACGTCTCCTGAGACCACATACTGACCAATGTCAGGATGGAAAAGCACGCTTTCCAGCAGGAAGGGAGACAGTGATCTTTATGAGACCCCCGAGGCAGGCAGCTTGACCGGGTGCCCTCATCCATGTGCCCTCCAGTCCCAGGTCCAGGCTGCCCAGTTGGTGCATGAGACGGAGTCCCTATAAAGCAGTGCCCATCCTCTCTCTCTCTCTCTCTCTCGGGGCCCTGCGGACAGAGGTGGTGGTGCTGGACCCAAGTCGTATTTACCTTCTAGACGGTGTCTGTGAATCTCACTGCCTCTTCCTGATGTGGTCTGACTACCTGCGCAAGCCGACCCTGAAGCTCCTTTATCGATACACTCTGTTCGGGGGAGCCCCTGAGCTGACCGGTGGGATAAAGGAAGGGGTTTAGTGGGTACACTCTGGGGGAGCCCCTGAGCTGGTTGGTGAGACAAAGGAAGGGGTTTAGTGGGTACACTCTGTTTGGGGGAGCCCCCGACAGATTGGTGGGACAAAGGAAGGGGTTCAGTAGCAGTGAGAACTTGGCCCAAGCTGAAGACAAGGGACAGACCCGTGCACGACGCAGGGGCACGTGGAGTGACGAGACACACTCGGGCGCAGCGAGCAACTCCTGGCAGCTCCCCCGGAGCCCCACCTGCACCTCTAACCTGGCAGCCGGGCTGGTGAGCGATGCCATCACCTGGGCTTCGGTCACTATAGTGCCACAAACCAGGCCAAGAGGAGGCAGCCCCACATGAAGCAGCTTCTAGACGACTTCCTAGAAGCTGCGGGCATCAGAGCTGACAAGGCTGATGGCTCTGCATGACTGCCTCACACACGGCTTTCTGGACTAACTGCCCGAGTCCCTGAGTATCTCTCTCAGCTGCGTAATTAATGAGTTCATGCTTCCTTGTCAGAGTTTTTCCTGCTCTGTCGGGAGGCCTCTCTTTTTTTTGCCTAGAGTTGCCCCCAGGATGCTTAGGGCGAGTGGCCTGGGGCTCCTTCACTCAACAGACGCCAGTGCCTCAGAGGAGCTGCACAAGGTCTGCCTGCTACATTTTACATTAAAATACCTACAGGAATTTTCAGTACAACGGTTACTGGTAAAATCCATCTTTTACGCCTTTATGTCCAAATGACAATGACAGAGGAGGCTGAGCTCCTTTATGACATGTTTTTTAGAGATGGAAACACTGTCCTATTAAAAATCTCAGGCATCATTAACATTGAAACATGATGTGCTGCCCACCGGTCCAGTGGTTAAGAATCCACCTTTGCAATGCAGGGGACACGGGTTCGATCCCTGGTCTGAGAAGATCGCACATGCCACAGGGTATCTAAGCCTGTGTGCCACAACTACTGAAGCCTGTGTGCCCTAGAACCTGTGCTCTGCAACAGGAGAAGCCACGGCAAAGAGAAGCCCAAGCACCGCAACGAGAGAGGAGCTGCCGCTCACCCCAACTAAAGAAAAACCCGCGCACAGCAACAAAGACCCAGCACAGCCAAAAATAAAAACAAGCAAACATTAAAAGAAATAAAGCTCTGTGGACAAGTAGTTGCTCCTAGGTAGGATGCTGTCACTCTAGTGTTAGAAAAATCAAAATACAAACAGGCAATGGCAGAAACTGCCATTCAGAATGACTCCACCACCACCATGCAACTGCACATGCTCATACGCATCACCACGTGTGAGAAAGGTTTTACACAACACAGAGATTCCCTCCAAAAACACATACTTCCCCTTCATCACCGAATTCCCGTAACCATCCTTTGCCCACTCATCTAAGAGTCTGCTTAGTCACCAAACACATTCACCTCGTCCTACGTGGTCGGTTTACATTCAGCCGATGCCTTCCCGGGCGGTCCCCATGCCATGGACACGTGTTCATCTCGACACCACGACCACCTCCCTGTGTTATTGCTGGGGAATCCACACCCCAGCCTTCCTCATTCACATGGCGTATGCTACAACGACTATACTGCTCATTTCCCGGACATCTTCAGAGAAAGTGGCGTGTAAGTTACTTTCCACACTAAAGACAACTTCGCTATCTCAATACACAAACAAAAACCAAATCAAACCAAAAAACCTTTTCACGTGGCCACTTACTAGATAACAACAATGCTACTCATTCACCGGGACTCCATTCTGCCTCCCTCCCTGTGACCTCATCTCCCGTGACTTCCATTTTGTTCGGGCCAGTTCTGCTACCGCTCCCTTCCAAAGCGGTCTATCGGGTCAGCACCTGTGCCCATGTACTTGGCATATAAACCCCACGTCCTTTCATCGAGGCTGGTATGTCACAGCTGAGACCGAAGAGCGCTCTCGTTGATGAAAGGACAGGAGGAGGGGCTCGGGAGAAGAACTCCGGGATTTCTGACCCAGAAACTCGATCCCCTGGGCATAGGCTCGGTCTCCTATTTACGTGTAATCTGACCGGTGCCTCTGCTCTGCTGCTCCTCCTTCAGCACTATTTTTAAGGCGCCCGGCACATTCCAAACCACATATTCCGTATCCCGCGCTCTTAACAGATGGAATCCCTCAGCAGACTCGCCGGGAGCCCCAGGGAGCAAAGCCCGGGAAGACGCCTGTGCCACGTGGGAATCTTGCTGGCAGCCACCGAGAGAAAACAGGCAACTGGAGTACTGGCCCTTCTGAAGTCCGCTCACTTTGTTCTGCTCTGAGCAGTTAACTCTTCTGTAGCTGCCTTAGCAGGCTCGTGGGTGCTGAAAGGTTGGGACTTCGGCTCTCTCTGGCTGCGGCAGCTCTGAGGGGCCGGGCGTGGATATGGACACACCGTGCCCCCCAGAGCTCAGCGTGTGCAGCCCCAGGGGAGGGCCTCCCACCACACAGATCACAGCATCTGCTAACACGCTACTGAGTAAGAAGGCAGTTATTTTCTTTTTCGCCTTATTGTGACTGCTGCTGCTGATACTGCAAGTACGAGTTAGTAGTTAAACCTACTGCTGAGATTCGGTGTCTACCCAAATCTTCCCAAATAAGCACTTAACTTCTGTCCCCTTTCCCCAAACGTGAAAATCTATAAGGCAAAAAAACACAGAAGTCACTTCCCAAATGGGACTTGAAGAATCTTCTAAACTTCAGCTTCTATTCAGAAAGTTGCTTCTCCTTTGAAGCCACAGATCCTGGGTGGCTTCTGTCAACCCCTCCACTAGCACCTCCAAGGAGCCAAGGGCTGAAGGAAATTCACATGTGTTTAAGAGAAGTCAGAGGGTGCAGACAAACCAAAGTCACGTCAAGGGCAACGGAAGAGGAAGTCCGGACACTGTTAACAAGGGGGAGTAAGAGGATGGAATTAGCAGATGCCAACTAGCACCTGGATGCAACATAGGATGGGCACACAAGGTCGTACGGTATAGCACAGGGAACTATATTCAATATCCGGTAATAAAGCTTCATGGAAAAGAATATGAAAAAGACTGTATATATGCATGTAACTGAGTCCCTCTGCCATACAGCAGAAATTAACACAACACTGTAAATCAACTATACATCAATTCAAAAAAAAACCTGCGAGCGGTACACCTTGCCTCAGTCTCAGCCCCGTTCTAGATGAAAAGGTCTGTTCTGTCTGCCTTCCCCCCAGTTACACGGCGCTCCATAGCATCTGTGCCCCATGCCCCGAGTCTTTAACCCATAGTCGCTTCTCTGGCCAGCTGCCCTGCTACTGTGTGTACTGTTTCCAGTAAGAGCCTCATGGGAAAGCAAGTGTTGGCAATGAATTCAGTGAAGTCTTCACTAAAGGGTTCTGAGTGTTCTGCCCTCTAGAACTGTCCACTGTACGATCCTTTAACCCAATATCACATTCAGAGGCCATGCTGAGCAGTCTGTCAGGGTGACATCCATGCCAGGGACACACACACAGCCACTCCACGGAGAACCAGACCCTATGTGGGATCAACATGAGGCTCTTCTCATCACGAAAGGAAAAACTGTGGAGTCATCAGAGGGGTCAGAAAACATGGGTCATCTTTTAGAAAGTACTGTAAAATTGTGTCTGCATACATGAGTTTTCTCTCCTGTGTGAAATGCCTTGGTGAATAAAAAGTCAGAACAAAGCGTGTCTAACTCCTGAGTAGATCAGTTTCCCCTTCTAGAAAATGATGCTCCTGGACCTTGCCTTTTACTGAGTTGTTTTTTATTTTTTTACTGTCTCATTAGAATGTATAAAATTAAAGGAAACCAGACAGATGCTTGAAAGAAGAAACATTCCATGGCAAGATAGCTGACATAAGCTTAGTCACCCTAGTGATCTGTGGTTGGAAATGCCCCCCAATGAGATGGAGCGCCTGTTGGAATGTCCAGGCCTGGGAGGGGGGTGGTCAGTGGGGACCAGCCCCTGCTGTATAGTAGCACTCCTCACGGGAGGGGCAGGGGTGCGGAGAGACCCAAGGAGGCAGTTCTGGACCTAGCTGGGGTCGGGGAGAATTTGCTGACACTGCCTCGCGCTTTCTTCCCACTTGCAGAATGAGAGGTCTGTCTGAAGATCCCTTCTGAGTCCTATTGTTCGGTGACCCTAAGTCACCACACAGCACCAGCTAACTCTGCTCCGCGCCCTTTTACAAAGGCTTATTTTCCCATGACACTGTTTCAGCAAAGTGTCTTCCTCTCTCCGGATTCACTGCGGTTTCTGAAGCTGTGCAGAGCACACGTGACCGGGAAAGTGGGGGTCAGACTTGTCGCTCCTGGGGAACCAGCAGGGCCTGGGGGTGCAGGGGAGGGAGTCCTCTGACCTCACCACAGTGAACTGGACACGCTTGGACAGGCCACCCGGGACAGTGTATAGAGAGAGGAGGGCACCGGGACAGGACCAAACAGAGGAGAAAGGGCCTCGGGGGGCAGAGAAGACTGGCTATGCGGCCCAGCCTCTGACTTGCGTGCAGGACAAGATGCAGATGGGCTGGTTTTGGCCTTACATGTGCTGTCATTTGATGTAGTCTGATTGGCTAGTTTTTGCCCATTTTTACTGTACATGGACAGTTATAAAATCACACCAGAAGAAACAGAAAATTGGTACCAGATACTGGAGCCGTGACACCCTTTCCTGCCAGGCAGTCTTCAACAGCAAGACATGTTCCTTCTGGTTCTTGATGATTATTCATACTTGATGTTTCACAGCACCTAGCACTCTTAGGGGACTTTCTCACCTGACTGAGAGGTGAGCTTGTTTGCTTCTGGAAGCAGACACCCCGACCTTTCCTAACACAGAACACATGGCTCTAACCCTGCAGCAACTTCCTCGACAGGTGGTACCAGGGCCAGATGCGCCCCTCGGGGCCACCTAGCCTCTGTCCTGGTGGAATTACCTCAAGGGAGGAGGCTTCGCGGATGGGACAGCTGTGACCTACAACAGGACCCCGCTCCTCCCCTTGCTCCTGCCCCGGCTGCCACTCCATCTGATCTCTCAGTTTGGACTGTGAGGTGCATGGGAGGGATTTGGTTTTTTGCTTTTGTACTTGTCTTACAATTTTAAACAAAATACAAAGGACAAGGGGGTGGGGTGGGGTGGGGAAAGTAGACAGGCAGCTGGAAAACTATGGGATGAGGAAAAGCAGTACTACCCATGGTGACTTCAAGATTTGTGGACATGGGTTGCTATGGCAACAGAGACTGCTTACGAGCCCCCGGGTCAGAAGAGCATCCCCGGTTCTGCCCCATGTCTGGAGCAGGTCGGGGGGGGGGATGACACACAGGTGGGACAGTCCTGGTTTTCAGTCCTACTTTCCTCACTGCCTGACAAGCAGCCACAGAGCCTCATGAATTGGTCTAGTCGCTTTGCTTCATTTCCAGGCCCCCTGCCCTCACCCTGTGTGAACCCCTCAGTTCAGTTGTATGCCGTGGATTCTGATTCCATTAAGTACCCCCCGACCTCACATGTCCCACATCCCCATCACGTTCCCTAGCAGCCTTGGACCTAGGTGGGAACCATCACGCGGACACACAGCGAAGGAGGAGTGGGAAGGTGAGGGGGACTCCTGCTCACCTCAAGGCTGAAGCAGCTCTGGGCTCCGGGCCGGCAGCTCCCAGCGTCCCCGTCGGCTCGGCGGTGCAGCTCCCGTGCGGCGCGGAGATGGAGGTGACCCCGCTCCTCCCCTCGCTCCTGCCCCGGCTGCCACTCCATCTGATCTCTCAGTTTGGACTGTGAGGTGCATGGGAGGGATTTGGTTTTTTTGCTTTTGTACTTGTCTTACAATTTTAAACAAAATACAAAGGACAAGAAGGTGAGGTGGGGTGGGGAAGGTAGACAAGACAGCCGGAAATCTATGGGATGAGGAAAAGCATGACCAGAGAAACCAACGTAAACACAGCGGCATCAGAGAGAGGAGAGAACAGAGCCAGGAGGAGGAGCAGCAAAACGGCAGGCTGAGAGATCTGAAAGGCAAAACAGAGAAAGGGGAGGAGAATGCAACACGCTGGTTACGAGGCGCATGCGATGGGGACGAGGGAGTGAGACTCGCCCGTAGTTGGGCATTGGGCATCGAACGCCACAGTCCAGGGCGGTGCAGGGAGAGCCGTCCGGGCCACGCCACTCGCTGCCCTCGGCTCCGGGGGTGCCGTCAGAGCCATCCTTCTCTCCACCACGCTCCTTGCCTGCCCCAGCTGTGTCGCAGAGGGAGCCAGTGGGCTGGACTGTCCCTGGGGCGGTGAACCCAGGCACGGATGCACCCGCTCCCGGGGAGTCTGCTAATTATCCTGACTTCGAAGAGCGCTCACACTGCGCTTCAAACTCCTCTTTGCTTCTTCATCGAGATGGCTGGTCGTTGAGGACGCCAAAAAAAGAAGGGACAGAATGCGTCCATCCTTGGCGCTGCCAGTGGGTTAGCCTCGTGTCAAGAGGGAGAACCTCTTAGCCAAGAGCAGTGGCATGGTTAAAAATAAAAGGGAATGGGGGAAAGAAACAAGGAAACGAAAGAGAGCTAAACCAAACCAAACCAAAAAAAAAAAAAAATAGAGAAACCCAACCAACAGAAAGGCTTTGGTTGAAACTTGAGGCTTTAGTACAATGCAGGTTTGCGATCATAACCAAGCAGCCGTGAGCAAGGTGAGTTGGAGCGCGGCAAGGCCAGCGAGGAGGAGGAGGAGCAGGACGGAGCAGGGAGGCAGAGCCAGGAGCCCCCTTACCTGCTGGTCCGGGCCCAGCTCCTTGCCCAGGTTCCCCACCGGGGAGTCCCGGGACACGGAGGTCACAGAGGACAGGAAGCTGGATGACTCGGTGAGCTGGGGCAGCGGGGACAGGCCCTCCCCCAGCCGCTCCACCTGCTCCAGGAAGGCCTGGAGCTCTTTCCTGAAGGCCTTCATCCTCGCGTTGAGGGTCCCCAGCAGCTGGGGCTCCTCCCTGGTGCCCTGGCCGCAGGCTCCGGGCGAGGCCTCTCCGCCCGGGAGTGCGGCCTCGGTGTCCGTGATGATGCGCTCTACCGCGCGCTCCAGCCGCTCCGCCTCATGCCTGATGCTCGCCAGGCGCTCCGAGTCCTCCCGCGTGCGCAGCAGCTCCGGGCACTCCCCGGCCTCCGACGGCCTCCCACTGCCAAAGCCCGAGGTCTTCTCGAAGGTCTCCTCCGAGTCGCTCTCGCCGCCAATGGGGCCCTCCCGGCGGGGCTGCACGCGGCCGTCCTCGCCGTCGTCGCTCCTCCGACCCGTGTCGCTGTCAGCATCGCTGTCCCGCGGGCTCGGTGCGCGCGGGCCCGGCTGCAGCGTCAGCACCTCCCCGCTCAGCTCGCTCACCGGCAGCCGTGACGCCTGGAGCTCGTCCTGCAGGGGCGCCCCGCCCCCCGCCAGCCAGCCTGGTTCGGGCCTAGGCTCGAACTTGAACTTGCTCAGCTCGTGGGTCAGCTGCCGGTTGTGGTCCTCAATCTCGGAGATGGACCGCCGCAGCAGCTCCGCCTCCTCCTCCACGAACTGCAGGTGCCGGCGCAGCTCGGCCGAGGACTCCAAGGAGTCCCCCCCGAAGGGCGAGGTCGGCCCACCGGGCAGGGGCTCCCGGCCACGCAGGTCTTCCATCTCGGCCTTGAGGCCCCGGTTTTCCACCTCCAGCTCCACGATCTTCCGGCCCAAGATGCTGGCCTCCTCCTCCACCAGCCTCAGCCGCAGCTTCAGCTCGGCCTCGCGGGTGCTGGGCGGCCCGCCAGCCTCGCCCGCGGGCAGGGGGCTGTCAGCATCCCCGTAGAGGGCCTTGTACCTCTGCAGCTCCTGCTCCAGCCGGTCCTTCTCGCGCCCCAGCTTGGCCATCTTCCTGAGCATCAGCGAGCCCTCCTCTTTGGCAAACTGGAGCTGGCACCTCAGATCCGCGCTGTCATCCTGCCCGGAGAGAGAGCCCAGACCAGGGTTATTTGAAAATATCACACCTTCCTGTTTTTGACGATTTTCCTTGCACCTCACCCCTCACACACACACAGACACAGACACAGACACCACACACCAGTCTTCCCGTCGGTGCATGGGGTCCACCAAGAGGGGCCATGACAGATGGGGCAGGCCTGGTCCTTCACCGGGGCACCAAGGCCTGCCTGGTCACAGGAACAAAAGACACCAAACAAGTAGTTTGGGCAAACATGCACATGAAAACCATCACCATGAATGGAGAGGAGTGAGTGAAATGAAGCCCAGCACCGTCAGCAATGTGGTGACCCACCCTGCCTCTCTGGGTCCATCCTGACCTGTGAGACATCCTAGACTCCTAGCTTAGCCTGGGGCAGGTGGACAGGCCTCTGTGCCAACTTCTACCTGTAGCCACTCACCTCCTCCCTCAACAGAGGTGCCGCCAGCACTTCACAGGTACTAACGGGATGGGGAGGCCAGGTGACCCCGAATCAGCCTGGCTTTCCACAAATCTGCTGAGAACCTAAGACAAGGCAACTCCCCTATCCTCCTCCCCCAACTCATCCCAGGGAGGATGTGAAGATGACTTGAGATGATGGGCATGAGGGCCTCTGGATGTTAAGCTGTGGAGTAAGCACCCGGCTCTGGTGGTTAGTATGAGATGGATACTGTAAACTGAAGGCCCGGGCGACTCACACCCTCTCTCCACGCAAACTTGACTTCAGCACATTTTAGTGGCTATGACAGCAGGAAATTAATCCCAGAAACCCAAGGCAAGGTGTTAAGTGGTTTAAAATCTAAAAAGTAGGGCTCCTCAGGTACCCAGAGGACTCTGGAGGGTCACGGGAGCAGGCTGTCTGCTAAAACCCCGCACTGCTGGACCGAAGTCCAGAAGGCCCTTTTAGGACCAACTAGAGAGTGACTCTTCCCTTCCCTGAGGGCCTCCACACCCTGGAGCTGCATCAATTCTGGATCTGGGCTCATGCTACAGTTTCATAAATGACAACTGGGTGGCTGGCAACAGTGACCAGTGTCATGACTCGTTCCTCTGTGACTGGCTATCAAGTTCCAAAAGGCTGTTCTGGGAACCAAGACTTAGACAAAGTCTCCCTCCTTATCTGGTGGTCCCATCCCATCACCAGGGGAGGAAAAGTCATCAACCAGCAAGTCAACCCTGGGAGTGGCAGGGAGCTCTTCCAGCTGGTCACTTGTGCAGACGGGTCAGCAAGGCTGGCGCAGCTCTCATACCCGGAGAACACTCCGGTTCATTCTCCACCAGTTCCTGCTGCACACTCACCACTGGGCAGAAAGACCTCCCTGGGAGCCCCTACCTTGCCTCCTCCCACCAGTAGACCTAAAGCCAACTTTCTGCTTTGTCTGAAACTCAATGAATTTTGGGGAAAGGAGCAAGTAACTTTTTCTCTTCCTCTTTGCATATCAGGAGAGTGATATATAAATGTCACGGGAAGAGGGCACAGTCTTCATGATCTAGAACTTATCACATTAAGGGTCTGGTTTGGTTTTGGTTAGGCTGAACACCAAAGAATTGATGCTTTCGAAGTGTGGTGCTGGAGAAGACTCTTGAGAGTCTCTTGGATTGTAGGGAGATCAAACCAATCAATCCTAAAGGAAATCAACTTTGAATATTCATTGGAAGGACTGATGTTGAAGCTGAAACTCCAATATTTTGGCCACCTGATGTGAAAGGCTGATTCATTGGAAAAGACTCTGATGATAGGAAAGATTGAAGGCAGGAGGAGAAGGGGACCACAAAGGATAAGATGGTTGGATGGCATCACCGACTCAATGGATATGAGTTTGAGCAAATTCCAGGAGATGGTAAAGGACAGGGAAGCCTGGTGTGCTGCAATCCCTGGGGTTGCAAAGAGTCAGACACAATTTAGCAACTGAACAACAGCAAAGGTGGACATAACGAGGGGTCCTGCGACAACTGGAAATAAAGCTGACTGCCCCATGCAATGGAGCAAGATAGGTTACCATCACTGCTGGAGTAATGATGTACATTTTTACAGGGCCTACACAGGAATACATGGGCCATAAAACACCTACTATATTTAATCCTAACTTAGCACTAAGGGGAAAAGCTTACTTATTTGTTATTCATTCATTCCTTCAGGAAATACTGAATACCTACTCTGTACCAGAAATTGGCATGTTAAACAAACCAGGTTCTCAGAACTTTTGAAAGCAGATCAAAAGCATCTTTTTAAATTTTTTGATAAATATAGATTTATAAGAAATCTATGTGTCCAAATATAGAGAGCTCTTTGTTGTCACAGGAAGGGGTTTGAATAAACTACAACAGGTGTCAGTGGAGATGGAGCGTCAGTACTTTGTAAAGGAATCACATCGAGGGTGACAAGCCCAGGATAGGAAGATGTTTAGCAGGATCAGGAACCTGGTAGCTGGTGTTTGTCCTAAGTCTAGACTCACCTACACCATCCTGTCTCCACCTCAAGCACAGAAGTTCACATCAGTGCCTGGGGACAGCCGTGGAGACAGTGGAGGGGAACGTCACGTGTCCCAGGGGAATTCCACCTTCAGCCCGGCACTCAAGCCTGAGCAGAGCCCCAGGTGGGACCAGTGTCCTGACCCACCCTCCCTGGAGATTCACGACTGGTGAGCCCTTGAGATGGTGGCGGGTGAGCGGCAGAGCCCCCTGCACAGTTCAGGACACTTCTGTCTCAAACCAGGGTCAGGGTATCTCAGGCTGTCTCTCCTGAGGGTTGTTCCCCCAAAAGTTGAGCTGAGCTGTCAGAGAATGCACATGGAGTCTGGTGTTCCCCAGGGCTCTGTGCTCAGATAGAAGCACTTATCTGCACCCCCCTACATGGTACAAAACCCCAGCAAGCCCTCAAATCACCTTGACTTCTGGAAACCTTACACTGTCCCCCCACCCCCTGCCATTCCCCATGAGTCTGACTCTAAATCAGAACCATCCTCCTGCTCTGTCTCCTCGAATTTAAATCCAGGCTGGGTAAAAAAGCAGGATTCCACGACATACCCTAGTGAGCGTCTGATTCATAGATTACCTGAAGATTGACCAAATATCCAAAAAGGCTCCAGCTCCTTAAGGAAAGAAACTATCCCCACACCAGGAATTCTAACATATGACGAAAGCATGCTTCGTTTCTACGCAACACCCATGCACAGCCAGCCCTGCCACCAGGATTAACGCAGATTTTGATAAAAACAAAAAGGCCGTCTTTGAAACCGAGGGAGTGTGTGGTCAACTTCATTGCTCAGTGGGGGCAGCCGGAGCCGGTGTGCAGGGTTAGGGGAGGCTGGGGGAAGCCAGGCTTGGCCTGTTCTGGAACAGAAGGCCAACTTCTGATATGATGGGGGGAATCACAGCACTCAGCTGTAGCAGCATGGGCCGGACACCCATCTTATCTGGTAACTGAAGACTTTCTAGAACTCTGCCAAGGCTCCCAGGGAGGGGTGAGGCCGACCTCGAGCTCTGGTTTCAGGAGACGGTCCGACAGCTCCAGGAAGGAGCATGAAGCAGATCCAGTAGCCTGCCCACGTGACCCGTGACCCTTCGTGGTGCAGCAGAGAAGCCCAGCACGGTCCGGGGTGGGGGAGGACGCACACAGGACCACCACCGCCGCCACCAGCGGAAAGGCCTTGACAAGCAACAGAAATATAACGCTGCGGGTATATATTCTCTGGCTTGCAAGTCTGCCTCTGGCCAGCACCCCAGCGCCGACGGCTGCTGCTCGTGCTCCTACCTTGCGCCGGGGCAGCAGTTTCCTCTGAGTTTTGGCTGCAGACCTGCAGTTCCCAAGGTGCTCAGCTCCTCCGTTCTGCCAGACAGAAACTCCCCGCTCAATGATCCCGCTCTTGGGTCCCCTCCTGCCCCCAGCCTCACTGACCCCCGGTGAGGGCACTGCAGCTGTCACCCCGCGATGTGCAAAGATGACACTTTTAAAGAACAGCTCTTTCCCGGTCAGAAGCCAGGAAGTTGAAACAGTGTTAAAAGCCAGGGGCTGAAGCGCCCAGCATCTGGAGACAACAGGCTTTAATGCCCCATTATTAGCAGTTTCAAAGTGAAATTTGGGCAGCAGAGACGTGGAAGAAAACAACTATGCCTTGCCGTTTCTCCAGCTCACCAGGCCAGGCCTTCCATGAGAGCTGCTGTGGGGAAGGGGGCTTCGGGGAGAGGAGAGAAGCAAGGGAATGGGGAGGGGGAATTCACAGGGGGAGGCACTGGGGCTTGTAGTTCCCTGGATGCTCCACGGTGTCTTTCCCATCACTCCTCGCTCTGGGGCCTCCAGGGAGTGGACACCCCAAAGAAGCCTTGTTCTTTCCAATATCTAATACTAGTAGCAATTTAGAAAAGAAAGAAATGCAGAGTGCTCAGAAAAGCTAAGAAGTTCTGAAGGACATGATGCACTGTGCATAGGGAGGGCCCCACTCAGACCACCTTGCAGAGAACACCTTGCTTTTGATTAGGACAATTTAAGATACTATTCAGCTTGTGCATTAAAAAAAAACTCCAACCCTCAAAATGATGCTTTCTGGATGACCCGACGTGACGGCAGCTGTGCTATCTCACTCTTTTACTATGTGACTGACTTTGATGGCAAGAACGCCCGTCACCATCTGAGAACACAGCAGAGCCCTGAACGGCACCCAATTACGCTGCTCAGGAAGTTGGTCTGTTCCCCTCCTTCTTGAGGAAACCACCAGCCGACCGGTGAAAGAAACAAAAGGGAAGAGCTCTTGGTTTGGGCAGACAACTTTCACCCCATGGGGGCTCTGGGTGAGAGTTCAAATATTTGCACAGGTGGTGATTCTTTGGCGATCTTCAAGGTGACGCTCACACTTTTCAAGAAAACTCAAAATGAGATGTCGCATAAAAGTGAGATGCTGCTTACCTGGGTGAAGGCTTTCTTCTCTTTGTACGCTTCCCGGCTGCCTCTCCTTTTCAAGGAACTCTGAAACAGAGCAGGTGACATTCTGTTACAAAGGGGGGGGTCACATGTGGGAACCGGCAGAGGCAGCATGTCCTCTCGCCCCAGGGAGGGGACACACACACAGTGGAAGGAGGCTCTTCTGTCACTTGAATCACAAACCAGACTAGAGCTTGGGAGGTGTTTGCCTCCTGAGAGGCTTCAAGTCCTGATTATTGAACTTGGGGTTTTCCCCAATCGTTCAGTTTCATTAAAAGGGAGGGTAGGATCATTGTGACCAAGGAGGGGGTGACGGGAAGAGGAAGATGGTAGGAAGCATCGGAAAACACATACGTGACTGCTCCTCTGAACTATGTTTCGTTTGGGCTAATGTCAAAACTAATTGCTGGCCTCTCCTGGTGGTCCAGTGGTTAAGAATCCACCTGCCAATGCAGGGGGACATGGGTTCAATTCCTGGTCCAAGAGGATCGCACATGCCGTGGGGCAACCCAGCCTGTGTACCACAACTGCTGACTGAGCCTGCGCTCCAGAGCCTGTGCTCCGAAACCAGACAAGCCACAGCAATGAGAAGCCCGTGAGCCACACCTAGAGAGCAGCCCCCACTTACCGCAGCTAGAGAAAGCCCTCGTGCAGCAGTGAAGACCCAGTAGTGCCAAAAGTAAATTTAATTTAAAAAATTAATTGCTGTTTCCTGGGCCCCTGTGGGTAAGTGGTGAGACAGAAAGTGGTCAGAAGGGAGAGATGGTGGTCCTGGTTTATGGAGAATCCAGGTTGCAATATTCCCCATGAAGCCACTGCAATTCCTGAATAAACCTCCCTCTTAGAGGTCTTAGCAAACTCATCATGTATTCATATGGGAAGTACCTAGTTTTACACCCATCACAGAGCACCTTTGCCTGCTGTGGGCAAGAAGTATGTCTGAAAGACAAGCACATGTATCAATCAAAGGGCCAAGGGGTGTCTGAGACGGAGGGGCAGGAAGCCAAGGCAGCTCCCCCTTGGGCAAAGTGAGGAGACAGAACGGCTGGAAGGAGAGGGAGGAGCTCCGAGGGGAAGACAAAGGAGCTGAGAGGATGGACGTCGTCACAGCACATTTCAGAAGAAACCAGTTTGGAGAGTTCAGACCAGCATCATTCGGACCTCAGGGAGCCTGCAGCAGAAAGGATTCCCCCACAGCTGCCGCCTTCCCTCTGCAGCTTCCTGCAAGAGGGTACCAACCCCCTCCTCCAGGGGAGCTCACGGGGTGGGGGGAGGGCGTGGCAGTGCCCTCTGGGCTTTGAGCCTCTGCCACACCCCTCATTCCACCCGGCCTGGGGAGGAGGCTCTTCCATCAGGTCGGATCTAAAGGCAATTCACTCAGTTCTGTGTGCATTTTGGTGTCTCGTTGTCACAAGAGATCATACCATGTATTGGATGAATCTCGGGGTTAAGAAACAACAAAAGTTCTAGCTGCCCTGAGCCTCCTGGAGGCTGGTGGCCTGGTGAAAAGGTAACTGAATTAACTGAAAGAAGAGATGAGAAGTTAGAGTTGGTGTGGGTGGGGAGCGGGGTAGAAGCTGGTCTTGGAACCCCAGCTCCACTGACCTGCCTGGTTGGTGAGGGGGTGGGGGTCTTCTCCCTTGTCCTGTCCTGAACACAACAGCCTAGTCCTGTGATCATTCCAGTGAATCAGGGAACAGGCAGGGGGTTGTGGGAACCCTGACACAGATCCGAGTCACAAGTGGCAACTACAATGAGAAACACTGCAAGGACTGAAATGAACCAGCAACAAGAAACTATAAAACTTTGGTTGGTGATGGACATAGATGAAAGCTGGGTGTTGACTGATGGGAAGACCCTATGTTATAAAGATGTCATATTTCTCCCAAATCATTTTATAAGACACTTTAACCAAATTCCTCTCTCTCTCTCCATATATATATATATATATATATATATATATAGTGTACCATCATCATTGCACTCACTTGTGTCTGACTCTTTGGGGCCCCACAGACTGTAGCCCACCAGGCTCCTCTGTCTGTAGGATAGTGTAACATATACACACACAGAAAGTATTTGTGTGTGTGACAATATACATAAATATATATATATATATACACACACACACAAACACTTTTTTGTATTTGTAAGGGAGACGACGATGAAGGACTTAAAAAGATTAAAAAATTCAGCTAAAACAGGGATAGGCAAACTAAGGCTATCAGGACCAATCAACCCACAGCCTATTTTGTGACTAAGTTTTACTGGAGCACAACTTCATCTATGGATTAGGGAGAAAAAAACCTCAAACAGATCCATGCTATTTATTTTTTAAAATTTCAGATGAATTAAAAATCTAGACATAGTAAGACATGCACACAAAATCCCAGAAATAAAGAGATGAATTTATTTGTTTTGGGGGCATGGACTTTATAAACACAAGAAATGAAAGCTGAAACATCCCAGGACAGATGAGTGGATTTGTAAGATTAAAAATTTTTATATTATCAAAATAAAACACATAGTATTAAAAAGCAAATGATAAAATGGGGAAAAAAAGGATTTTTTGAACACAAGACAGACAAAAGAACAATATTTGGCAAGCAGTAGGGAGAGGAAAACCATCTTAATAAGAAAATATACAAACGGCCAATAAACATGATGACTAATGATTAAAGCAACAAGGTATAGTTCCTCACTTAAGAGATTTATGAACCAAAAGAAGTATGACACCCAGTATTACCAAGTGTCCCCAGACCAGCCCCCCACACCAATCAGCATGAATGGACTTCCAGTGGGCAGTGCAGCCTGACCAGAGTATATATCGTGACCCAGGAATCCCACCTCTGGCAATGTCCCCTAAAGAAAAACACTGAGCCTGTGTGAAGATTTATGAATGAACCAAGAACGCTCATCACAGTACCTCCCATAATAGTAAACGAAGACTGTGCAGGTTATTAAAATGATGCTTCTGAAGAATACTTAAAGATTCAGGAAATATACTATGAGGAAAATGCAGACGACAAACAGCATGTATTTTGTGACTTCAACTTATATCTAATAAATTATAAGTATGCATATGTATTTCATATGTATGTGATAAAACTAAAAGAAAGGTTTATCAAAATGTGAACAGTGATCCCCCCTTTGGATGATAGAATTACAAGTGATTCTAATTTTTTGTGTGGCTTTTCAAAGTCTCCAAATCTATCGGCAGTGAATACTGTTTCCTTTGCAATTAAAAAGATGAGAAATGAAATTCTGTCCTCTGAAGAGGTCAGAGGGGAGACCATCACTGAATCACTAACATCTGTGTGAGTAACAGTGGCTTCATCAGAAGTTATCAGCCAGGTTTGGGGTCTCTTTCCACAAGGTGATGCTGTTTTTATTAGCTTGGTCCTTGAAGTATGACTGGTACACATATGGTTGGTGAAAGAGACCAGAAAGCCCTCTGAGAGTTAGGGGGACTGGCCAGGCACCCCAGAGCACTGCAGACATGTGCTAAGCTGTCACGAGTCCCAGACTAGGGTACAGGTCCCTCCGCACTCAAGTCTCGAGTCTTGCCCAGGCAGGGCTCCATGCTCTGGGTGCACCATGGGCATCCAGGGTGCAGGAGGAGGGGTATTTGCATCATCGCCAGTTCACCCCTCCGGACGACTCAGACCCAGTGGAGAGTCTTTCAACAAACAGTAAGGAAAGGGGTGAATGCTGACTGTCGAATGAACAGAACCCAGAAGGGTGACTCCCCTGTGATTCAGTCCGCTCTTCCTTTTTAGTCTGGCCAAGTGCCAGCAGATCAACCCTAAAATTCCTATTGAGAAGAAAAAAAAAAAATTGAGCTTGGATCCAGATTGAATCCATATATGGCTGATGCATTTGCTGAGTATTCAGTCAGTTCAGATCAGTCGCTCAGCCATGTCCGACTCTTTGCGACCCCATGGATGGCATCACACTAGGCTTCTCTGTCCATCACCAATTCCCACAGCTTGTTCAGATTCATGTCCAGTGAGTTGTTGATGCCATTCTACCATCTCATCCTCTGTCGTCCCCTTCTCCTCCTGCCTTCAATATTTCCCAGCATAAGAGTCTTTTCCAATGAGTCAGCTCTTTGCATGAGGTGGCCAAAGTATTGGAGCTTTGGCATCACTCCTTCAGTGAATATTCAGCAATGATTTCCTTTACAATTGACTGGTTTGATTTCTTTGCTGTCCAAGGAACTCTTAAGAGTCTTCTCCAACATCACAGCTCAAAAGCATCACTTTTTCGGCCCTCAGCTTTCTTTATGGTCTCACATCCACATGTGACTACTGGAAAAATCATAGCTTTGACTAGACGGACCTTTGTTGGTAATGTCTCTGCTTTTTAATATGCTGTCTAGGTTTGCCATAGCTTTTCTTCCAAGGAGCAAGTGTCTTTTAATTTCATGGCTGCAATCACCATCTGCAGTGATTTTGGAGCCCAAGAAAATAAAGTCTGTCACTGTTTCCATTGTCTCCCCATCTATCTGCCATGAAGTGATGGGACCGAATGCCATGATCTTTGCTTTCTGTATGTTGAGTCTTAAGCCAGTTTTTTCACTTGCTGAGTATTGGATATGATTAAATAAAACACAAAGTCAGGCAATTATTTGGACTTGCATGTCAATTCTTAACGTTTTAAGTAAGCCAGTTTCTTCCCAGTGAGTTCAGAAAAACTAACAAGCTCTCAATTGCAACAACATTTCAGAGACAGACTTTGGGCTTAAAATTTATATTGTGAATAAAAGGCAGCAAATGAAATGTAGGATGCTGTAGATTATGACTCAGCATAGGAGAAAGTATGGATGGAGGCAGAGGAGTCTCAGAATTCTTACAGATTCTTGCTGTGTGCTTAGTTGCTCAGTTGTGTCTGACTCTTTGCAACCCCATGGACTGTTGCCTGCCAGGCTCCTCTGTCCATGGGGATTCTCCAGGCAAGAATACTGGAGTATTCTTGGAGGCTGCCATGCCCTCCTCCAAAGGATCTTCCCAACCCAGGGATCTAACCCAGGTCTGCCACACTGC